AACATTCTGTCTCCATTTGGTCTACAGCCTGGAGGTGTTCAGCCAGTGGCGATGCTATGGGAGCCACCACAAAGGAGGAAGGAAGAGAGGGGGTCCAGGAGCAGCCCCTGGGAATCGTCTTAGGATTTTTTGTAGGGAGAGAAAAATGGTTGTTTTGATCTGGAGGCACACAGGATCCTTTCAATTCCAGGATCCCCAGGGAAGCACCCTGAGGCCACCATAGCCTCACTTCCACTGGTTCCTCAGTTCCCAAGCACCTGCAGGGAGCTTAGGGGAGCCTGGGGGGCCGGTGGAGGCTGCTGCATCTGAGTTCCTCTTTAGTGCGGGACCCCTCCCTCAGCTGTCACCGCCTTGCAAGTTCAGTGCCCCGATGGCCAAACTGGGCTCAGGAGGGACACACCTCTCCCAAGGCACCCTGCCCCGCTGCTTGCAATGTTCCAGATGCCCTACCGGTGTTGTTTCCCAGGGACTGAGAGCATTCCTGGAACACGGCGGGGCTTTCGCTGCCGATCCGATCCGGGAATTGGCATGAGCAGTGAGCAGCAGGTGTCCACGTCCAGTGGAAGCTTAACCAGAGCCACATGTGGAAATTTCCCAGCCGCCACGTTAAATACATTAAAAAAAACAGTAGAAATTAATTTTAATACCTTATTTAACCCAAGACATCAAAAATATTTTCAGTTTGACACGTAATCCATATAAACCTCATTATTCAGACATCTTACCTTCCTTTTTAGGCACTAACTCCTCAAAATCTAGTGTATTTTACATTTACAGCTAGATTTGCCAAATACCAGCTGCCCAGGTAACTGAATTTCAGATAAACAATGAAAAAAAAGTGTGTGGTTTTGTTTTGTTTTTACTGTAAGTATATCCTATGTATTGCATGGGACATATTTACACCCAAACTTCTTTCTCAGCTGAAATTCAGGGGCCTGTATGTGTCTGTAATTTTATCTGATACATCTTGCGACCCTAGTTTCAGCACTTCTGCATCCGGAGGCTTACCAGCCACCTTAACTCATGGTGGAAAAGGGGACAGGGCAGGTGTGGAAGGATCGAGGCACCCAGGAGAGTTCGAGAGAGCCAGTCACCCAAAGTCAACCTGCAAACACCTGCCTGGTTCCTTCCTTCTCCAGGGCCCCCAGCCACCATCCCTTTGTTGCCTGTGACATATCTGTCTTTGTTTTGATCGAGCTTTTTGGAAGCAACTCAACATATTCTATTTCCCACCATCTCCTGGCTGAAAAACAGGTGACAGGGAAGAAAGTCCACATCTCCAGCCCCATGATTCTCTGTATCAGCAAATTTTCAGGATCCAGAAGAGGGGTCAGGGCCAACAGAAGTGGCAGGGCAGGTCTGGAGGGAGGACAGGCCAGACCCAGAGATGGGGGGACCCAGGAGCCAACCTCCTTCCGGGGCTTTCCTCCCTGCACCCCGAGCCTCAGCCTCACCCTCAGTGTGGGCTGAGACACTCCAGGTGTGAGTCTCTGACTCTGAGTTGTCTCTCTCTGCCTCAGTTTACACATCCAAACACACTGGGAAGTTGCAGACCAAAGCCCTGGGATGGGGAAGTGGACACAGCCAAGCGGCTGCTGGGGAAAGATGCAGCCTGCACAAGAGGTAGGTCACAGGGAAGCTGCCCTCCCCAGGCTGTCCCTGGGCTCCTGGCGTGCAGAGGGGGGGCGGTGCATGTTCAGAGTGTCAGGAATGTTGGAAACAAGGCCACGGCTGGAATAGACAGAGGCCCAAAGAGGTAGGCCACAGCCAAGGTCACACAGTACGCCTCCAAGGGGCTAGACGCCAGCTGGGGAGCTGGGAACCAGAGCAGTGGGCTTCCCCACTGGGTCACATGCCCCCATAGGGCACTGCTGCCCAGGACCCCAGGAGAAAAGGATGATGAATGCCAGTTTCCCCTGGGTAGGAGGCAGCAAGGGGCCAGTGCCTGACCGGAACTCACCCAGCCCATAGGGCTGAGCCCAGAACCCCTCTCACCCAGCACACCACAGGCAGGATGCGGCCCAGTCGGGCCCATCCCATGATTTGTGGGGGACCGGTACAACCGGAACACAAGCGGACACTTCATCCAACAATTAATAAGGGGGGGGGGTTTGTTTTATTTTTAAAGATTTTATTTATTTATTCATGAGAGACACAGAGAGAGGGACAGACACAGGCAGAGGGAGAAGCAGGCTCCTTGAGGGGAGCCCAATGTGGGACTCGATCCCAGGACCCTGGGATCACGACCTGAGCCAAAGGCTCAACCACTGAGCCACCCAGGTGCCCCTTAATAAGGATTTTAAAATGGGAACAGCAGAGCATTAAACCGAGTGCAGGGCCCTTCTGAGAGTGGCTTGTGGACACAGAGCACATACCTATGAGTCTCCAAGGAGGAGAGCAGAGGCAGGAGAGAGGTGCAGGTGCCCTCCTGGCCTGGTGCAGTCACCCTCCCAGCTTGTGTCCCCTAATCTCCTCCCTAAGCCCAGGGTCTCCCTCCTCAGCCTGGCTTTTCGTGCTGCCCACCCATCCATGGGTTCACCCACCCTAACCCCTCCCTCCCTACACCAGGTCACCTCCCTCCGTCCCTCCTTCAGACTGCTCCCCGCTCCCCGCCTCTTGTCTATCTGTCTCTGATGGTCCCAGCAGGACTCTGCATCCTCAGAGGTATCTTTCATTGGTGGGATGCCAAACTCTGTCCCTAAAAGAGCCCTACAGTCTAACCTGGCCCCTGACCTCCTCGTCCTCCCTCCCACTTTCTGCTTTCTGCATATCCCAGCCCCAGACCCCACACTAGGAGAGAGATTGCACAAACTGTCCAGGGCACCAAAAGCATCCCATAACCGAGACCCACAGTGTTGCGTTCCTGTGATATTCTTTAACAATCAAGAGTAATGCCAAAAAATCCAAGATGAAGAAAATAGCAAAGTTTTAAATAAAGACAGCATTAGTATTCTGATTTTTCTTCTTGCATCAGGCTCCGATATGGCTCAGCACGACACTGTGACAGATCCTGTTTGGTTCTGAAATTTTAATGTTTCATTTCTCTTTCACTTTTTGGCATCACTTTTGATTTTTTTTTAAAGTTTGTTTATTTATTTTTAAGTAACCTGTACATCCAACCTGGGGCCTAAACTCATGATCCCAAGAGCCACATGTTCCTCCTGTGAAGCAGCCAGGCACCCCTAATTTTGATTTTTTTTTAAATTGCACTAAAATACTATTTTCTTCATCACTGAGTGTTTTAGGTGATCCCTTAAATTTTGCATGCAAGGCGAGTGCCTCCCACGCCTCCCACAGCCTCCCCAAGCTACAGGCTAGTCCCCAGACAGTAGGGGATGACGGGGTGAGCAATCCTACCAAGGATGAAAATCACAACTGATGTGCACCAAGGTCTACGGCCACATAGTGTTCCAGCTCTGCCCCTTCCTCCCTTCCTTCCTGAGCACCTACTATGTGCTCAGCACCATCCTAGACTCCCATAGAGCAGACACGAAACACTTCCCTGTCCACACAGAACCCACATCCGGGGCTGGGGAGCGAGACAAGGAAATAAGAAGTAAGGGTCAGCAAAATGCGAGGTGATGCAGAGAAAAAAAATAATTGAGTTAGGAAGACCTGAACCGCACCCACCCCAGGAGGGGGGGGGGGCTGTTCGCTAGCCCCATTCCTCAGATGAGGAAACTGAGGCAGCTTGCCCAGGAAGTGGCAGGGCCGGCTTCTACCCCCTCACCCTGGGCAGGCTGATGCCAGGGAGCTTTGAACTGGGTGTCGAGTATTGGGAGTCACCGTGGTTGGGGCAGGGGGGCGCAAGCGCATCCAGGGGGTCTTTCTCCACCTTGAGGGCCACCTCCCCAGGAGGGAAGGCTGGGCTGGCTGGGTCGGGGCCCTGGGTCCTCCGCGTGCTGACCGAGCCCCGGCCCCCCCGCCCCCGCGGCGGGGCCCTTTAAGGCCGCCCGGGTCTAGCGCAAGTTCATTCATCCAGGCGCCCCTGCTGACTCACGCTTATGAAAGTGGTTTTCTGGCCCCGCCCCCGCCCGCCTCCTCCCGGCCCGTGAAATACCCCGGCCGCTCGCCTCGCACCGGCTCCTCGGTCCCCACGGGCGGCGGCCGGCTCGGCGGAGGCTCCCGGAGCGCCCCCCGCGCCGCCAGGTGAGTGGCCGGGCAGGGCCTGCGGGGGGGCCGGGAAGGGGGGGCGGGGGGCGCCCCGCGGGGCCCGGCCCGACGCTCCCGCCGCGCCTGCCGGGTGCCCGCCCCCGCCCCGCCGCCCCGCCGCCCCGCCACGTGACGCGCCTCGGGCAGGAAGGGAGGCGTGGCCGCCCCGGGCCTGGGTCCCGCGGGCTGGGCGCTGCTCCGTCCCTGCCCTGCAGCCCAGCGCGGCCGCCCGGGGTGCGCGGGGTGCCCGGGGTGCTCAGGGTGTCCGGGGTGCCCGGGTGCTCGGGGTGCGCGGGGTGTCCGGGGTGCTCAGGGTGTCCGGGGTGCCCGGGTGCTCAGGGTGCCCGGGTGCTCGGGTGCCGGGGTGCTCAGGGTGTCCGGGGTGCCGGGTGTCCGGGTGCTCGGGGTGCCCAGGTGCGCGGGGTGTCCGGGGTGCTCAGGGTGTCCGGGGTGTCCGGGTGCTCGGGGTGTCCGGGGTGCTCAGGGTGTCCGGGGTGCGCAGGGTGCCCGGGGTGCGCGGGGTGTCCGGGGTGCTCAGGGTGTCCGGGGTGTCCGGGGTACTCAGGGTGTCCGGGGTGCCCGGGTGCTCAGGGTGTCCGGGGTGCGCAGGGTGCCCGGGGTGCGCGGGGTGTCCGGGGTGCTCGGGGTGTCCGGGGTGCGCAGGGTGCTCGGGGTGCTCGGGGTGCCCTGGGTGCTCGGGGTGTCCGGGGTGCCGAGCGCCGGCTGGGCTCCGTGGGGAGGGCTCCGGAGGGGAGCTACGGCAGCGGCCCTCGTGGGCAGTGCCCCCCCCTCCCCCCCCGCGGCCTCCCTCACCTCGGCGCGGGCTCTCCGACCCCGGGGCCTCGCCCACTGCCCGCCCGCCCGCCAGCAGGTGCTGCGGGCAGGACCCGCGCTCGTCGGCTTTGGCTTTGTCCGGGGCATTCCCGGGCAAGGCCGGGCCCCACCGCGGTCTGCGCCCCCAGCCGGGATAGGAACACCCTCCAGGGAGCGGAGGGCGTGGGGGCGCCTTCAGAGCCAGGCGAGCGCGGGCCCCAGCGGGGCCCGGTGAGTGCAGCCCTGCCCGCGTCGAGGAGGCTGGAGCTTCGGGAAACACCATCATTGAGAGCTGCCGGCGCTGCCATCTCCTCGAGCTTGTTTGCTTCTGTCCTCTGAGCTGTTTTCAGCTGGCACTTGCCGTCCTCAGCCCGGAGGGACTCAAACAAAAACTTAGCATTTAGAGTCGGCCGTTCCCAGGCCACGAAACTAAAGCGCATAAATGAAAATGGAACTGGTCTCAGACTGTGGGCTGTCAGTCGGCGGGGTGCGCGGTCTTCCAAGGTAACCAGAGCGCTCAGCTGCTGGGGGGCCTCAGGATGCTGCCCAGGAAGTGACCTCTGGGTGGTGACCTCATGTGTACGGCATCTAGAGGCTTCCGGGAAGGAGCACTGGACTTGGAGCCCAAAGCCATGGTGGTAAATGGGACCCTCCAGCTCCTGGGAAGCACAACAAGACACCAAGGGCTCCTGCCAGCCCCTCTCACCCAGGACAGGGGAGGGGGGGACCGTCAAAGGGACAGAAAAGGTGAAAGGCATGGCGCAGGGTGGGGATGCTCATTTTGCGGAAGCTCTGGGGAGTTCAGGTGGATTCAAGCCTCGGGGATCAAACTCTAGGTCTGTCACCCACTGGCTCTGTGACCTTGGGGGCATGGCCTCACCTCCCTGAGCCTCAGTCTTCATATCAGTGAAGTGGGTGGCCGTGAGAATTAAAGTTGTAGGGCATAGGGAACTCTCAGCAAGGCCATCCCATGGGTCCCCAGAGGGCAGTAGAGACTTGAGGTGGGGCCCTGGGGCTGTGAGGGAAATTCCAGAAGAGAGTGTCCCCAGGACCACCAGGGTCCCCCAGTGCCCAGCAGGTAGTGAGAAACTGTTCCCTCCCAGTGGGGAACGTGGGCCCGTGGCCTCCTTGCCAGCACAGGGGACAGAGCAGAAGGGTGAGCAAGGACAGATGGGTAGTCTGCGCTGTCAGCCTGGCTGGGCTCAGCCTCTGGCAGAAGCTGTCACACCCTGTCACCCTGTCCTCTCGAGCCCGGCTCACTGACCTCACTGCCCTATCTATAATATAGGTCTGAGTGTAAGAGTACATGTAACAGCCCAGTTAAATGAAGATTAAGTTAGTTAATGTGTATAAAGTGTTGAGAACATGCTTGGCACCTAGCCAGCTCTTCACAGACGTGCAGAAATGTTGGCCCTTTGTGGTGTTGGTAAGTGGTGGTGGTGCCACCCCGAAACCCTTGCCCCGGGGCAGACAGCACGTCCCCTGCAGGGAACCAGGTGTGGGGAAGGCCACGCAGTCCCTGATGCCACCTTGTTCATCTCCTGGGGACCCGGGGCTCACCCAGGTAGGAGGAGGAGGCCGTCCATGGGGCTGGGCCCGGGCCCCAGCGGAGGCAAGGAGGGCAGTGCTCAGGGCACCTGAGAGCACCAATGAGGAAGTCCCTGACACACACCCCCGCCATGCCACTTGCCGCTGTGTCTTCACCTCTGAGCCTCACTGTCCACCTGCCAGCGGAGGAGGTGATACGGCTCAGCTCTCAGGGTTGCCCGACCCAGTGCTGTCACTTAGGTGTGAGCCCCTTAGAAACTGTAAAGTGCGGGGAGAAAGGCCCGTCGTCACTGTGAGAGCTGTTCCTTGTCCACCCGCTCGGGACCTGCCTGGGGGTAGATGTTGGTCATTGCACATATCAAATGTCATATTCCGGCCGTGATCATGTCTTGTCACCATTCAAGATTGCTTTCTTTCTTTTTTTTATAATGTGAATTAGTTGCCCACTTTTCTGAATCTGAGAATGCACATAAAAATCCAGCTTTCTGCCTTCTCTGGAAGAATTCTGAAGGCAGTGGCCCTGGGCCCTGGGCCCCCATCCCTCACTGCTCTGGGTGGTCCAGGCCATGTGACAGCCCACTCCCTCCTGCGCGCGCGCACGAGAGAGAGAGAGAGAGAGAGAGAGAGAGAGAGAGAGAGAGAGAGAGTGTGACCCTGGGCTGAGCCCCAGGTCCACCTGGGGCAGGCCAGTGGCACGCACAGTGGCCTCGGCACCACTTAGCCCTGGGTTTCAAAGCCAGCCTCATGATGCTGAGCAATCTGTGTGCCCTCTCTGGGCTCCAGCTGACACGTCTGTGCAGGGGAGTCGTAACTGACCGTCCTTTCTGCGTGGGTCAGGGGGAGGAGGGCGTGAGAAGTAGCTAGGTCCGTGCGAAAAGCCACACATTTCTCACACGCCCGTGTGGATGTTGCCTTGTGGCCATCAGGACAGCAGGGGATGGGGGCAGTGGGTGAGGCCGGAGGCTGGTTTGGGGGACCTGGTGCAGGTGGGTTTGGACCCTGCCCCCGCCTGCAGCCCCAAGAACTGGGTTGAGGGCCCTATGAGTGATGTGGTGTGGGCCTGTGGCCAGCAGGGGGCGCGGGTGTCCCAGAGACGAGCAAGTTTACAGGCCTCTTCCCCTAACGGACTCCTGCTTCCAAAGCTTCAAGTCCACCTGTTCCAACTGAGCCGCTGAGCAGCCAGTGAGCTCCGGTCCTTTCTCAGGGGCACATTTGCTCCAGCCAGTGCGTCACGGCCATTACCCCACTGTGTCCCCCAACAACGCTACGGGGTAGAGAGCATGATTATTCCCATTTTATAGATGAGGAACCAGACCCAGAGAGGTGCAGGAATGGGCCTGTAGTCACCAGCTAGAAAGCACCTTGCCAGGTGATGGCCCCAGAGACCTGAGGGCTAGATTGGGGGATGGGTGCTGTGGTGGTCACAAAAGTGCTGGCAGGGCTTGCCCCCAGGGGGGCACAGGAGACCTTACAGAAGATGCACCATAAGCTTTGGGTACTGTTACCATCTGCTGATGAAATGGGGAGAGTGGGGTGGGGCCCAGAGATGGAGGTGGCTGCCTGGAAGAGGGGACCCCGTCTAGCGGGGCTGGGGGGGGGGGCGTGGAGGCAGTTTGTTTGGAATAGAACAGGTGTAAGGAGGAGAGAAGGAACAGAAGAGGGGCCTGATATGCCTCAGCAAGGACCTTGGACTTGACCCCGAGCACCACAGGCCAATACCCTGCAGCCTATAGCTGGGAAGTGAGTGCATGACACCACAGGCTCACCCAGTGGCTCTTCTCCCCCCTTCCCCCAGGTCAGCTGCCAGCTCCGAGCTCCCCACCAGCCACAGCCATGAGCAACTGGAGGAAGGACCACCTTGGCACCAGCGCCTCGGAGCCCCTCCCTGTCGTCATCATTGGTGAGTGCACCCAGGGCAGGGAGGGTGCTGCACTGAGCCCCTAGGGTGGAAGGTCAGGAGCCAGGCAAGCCCAGGCCGGGCCTTTCTTTACAAGAGCGGTATTTTTTTTTTAAGATTTTATTTATTTATTCATGAGCGACACAGAGAGAGAAAGAGAGACAGGCAGAGAGAGAAGCAGACTCTTCGCAGGGAGCCTGATGTGGGACTCGATCCCAGATTCTGGGATCACGCCCTGAGCAGAAGGCAGACGCTCAACCACTGAGCCATCCAGGTGTCCCTAGAGCGGTCTTTAAAATTGGCCATTGAGCATTCACTCCGTGCCTGGTGCTAGGCCTAGCAATTTGCAAAACATCATTCCCTGGAATCCCTCCAGGAAGCCACGAAGCCAGGGCAGGATGATCCACTGAGGTTGCCCAGGAAGGGCGACGGGGTCTGGTCCTCAGCCTGCAATGGTCCCCATGCTCACCCTCTGCCTGGCACTGTGCTGGGTGCCCAGGTGGGGGGACGCAGCCGAAGCATGTGGTTCCTGTGCTCGGGTCTGCAAAATGGGGGATAGGCGGCCCCTCCCCTCTGCACGCAGCAGGTTGAACCATATGAAATGGCCATTTCTGTAAATCAGAAGCAGTTGAACATCAGTGATTGCATGTGGTTTGTCTCAGTGGCCCCCTACGACGGGTATTATTTTCACAGCACCAGATAAGAAGTCAGGGCAGGGGGAAAGACAGATAAGAATAGAAGCCATGTCCTGAGGGTAAATGCCCAAGAAGTGCCACAGATGAGCAGTGTGACTCATTCGAGCTTGGGGACTGGGGGCCCCACATGGGCTTTGTACCCCTCCCTAGTCCCCCACTCCCCGTCCTCACATAGGAATCTTTTTTTTTCTTTTTTTTCTTTTTTATTTATTTATGATAGTCACACAGAGAAAGAGAGAGAGAGGCAGAGACATAGGCAGAAGCAGGCTCCATGCACCAGGAGCCTGACGTGGGATTCGATCCCGGGTCTCCAGGATCACGCCCTGGGCCAAAGGCAGGCGCCAAACCGCTGCGCCATTCAGGGATCCCCTCACATAGGAATCTATACTGTAATCTTTTACTTGTCTAACCAGCCAGACTGTCAGCTCTGGAGGACAGGACGAGTTCTTAAGTGATCTTAGAATCTCTGTCACCTTGTTGTGTGACCACAAGCAAGTTACTTAACCTCTCTGAGCCCCAGCTTCCTCAAGTATGAAAGGGGGAAAAGAGCAGCCTGCACCTCACTGACGTCACTGGGAGGGCACAGTGAGGTAATGCACTTCACGTGGGGCCCGATCCAGCAGTCGCATCTCTCTCGTATCTTATTATTTTGTTGTTAAAATCTCTGGACACGGGACGCCTGGTTGGCTCAGTGGTTGAGCATCTGCCTTCGGCTCAGGTCCTGAATCCGGGTCCCGGGATCGAGTCCCTCATCGGACTCCCTGCGAGGAGCCTGCTTCTCCCTCCGCCTGTGTCTCTACGTCTCTCTCTGTGTCTCTCATGAATAAATAAACAAAATCTTTAAAAAATAATAAAATCTCTGGGCACATAGTAGGCCGTCAAGAAACATCAGTGGGGGCAGCCCCGGTGGCCCAGCGGTTTAGCCCGGGATGTGATCCTGGAGTCCCGGGATCGAGTCCCACGTTGGGCTCCCTGCACGGAGCCTGCTTCTCCCTCTGCCTGTGTCTCTGCCTCTCTCTCTGTGTGTCTCTCATGAGTAAATAAATAAAAATCTTAAAAAAAAAAAAAAAAAAGAAACATCAGTGGTTAGCATCTGTTACTTCACTGTTGCTAAAGTACTACCGAGGAGGCGCTCAACAATCGTTCGTTACTTTGTTACTGTCTTATGCACAGTGCAGGGACATGCAACTGGCTTATTGTTTTATTTTATTTTTTTAAGATTTTACTTATTCATGAGAAACAGAGAGACAGAGAGGCAGAGAGGCAGAGACACAGGCAGAGGGAGAAGCAGGCTCCGTGCAGGAAGCCTGACGTGGGACTTGATCCCGGAATCCCGGGATCACACCCTGGGCTGAAGGCGGCTCTAAACCGCTGAGCCACCCAGGTTGCCCTTGGCTTATTGTTTTAGTTTGATTTTTATGAATAAAGAGCAAACCAATGAACCGGTCAGGTCAAGACCAAAGCCCTCAGTGCTGGTGGTCTCTGGCACCTGAAAGCACTGCCCTCTGACCTCACCCTCTCTCCGTAGGCAATGGCCCCTCGGGCATCTGCCTGTCCTACCTGCTGTCTGGCTACACCCCCTATGTGAGACCGGACGCTGTCCACCCACACCCACTGCTGCAGAGGAAGCTCGCGGAGGCTCTGGGGGTCTCCATCCTGGACCAGGTGGGCCCGAGCTCTGGGGGCGGGACAGGGGACACGCCCACCCGGGGCAGGCAGGGCAAAAATAAAGACACACGTTTGTTAGACGCAGGACCAAATGGGGAACACGCACGACCGCAAAGTCAGGCAGGGAAATTGTGCAAGAGGAACCAGGGCTATCTCTTGAGACCAACAAATTCCACACCTGCTTGTCTCACATCCCCTAGACCGGTGGCTGGGTCTTAACCTGCTCTCCTGGGCACACTTGGCAACATCGGGAGACAACGTCGGTTGTCACAACTGGAGTGGTGGCCCCACTGGCTCATAGGGTCCTGGCCCAGGGATACCATTTAACGCCCTACGGTACACAGGAGCGTGCCCACCACGAAGCACGAGTCTGCCCAAACGTCAGTAGTACCTAAGTTGAGAAATCTTGCCCAAATACTTTGGTTTGCTACACCCCTGCCCAAGAGGGCCCACCAATCCTCCATCCATGCCCCTTGCCTTCCAGAAGGCCACTCATTGTCCACTCCCTCTACTTCCGACATCATTCATCCTCCTAGCCCCTCCCACCTTTAAATTGGCTGATGAGGAAGTAAGCTGGTCCAGATCAGCAGTTTTCTTTTTTTTTTTTTTAATTTATGATAGTCACAGAGAGAGAGAGGGAGAGAGAGAGAGAGAGGCAGAGACACAGGCAGAGGGAGAAGCAGGCTCCATGCACCGGGAGCCCGACGTGGGATTCGATCCTGGGTCTCCAGGATCGCGCCCTGGGCCAAAGGCAGGCGCCAAACCGCTGCGCCACCCAGGGATCCCCCCAGATCAGCAGTTTTCGAAATGCCTCCTACGGGACTTTAGTTCCACAGACAAAATGCTCCTACCCCAGTAAGTGTTGGCAAAACTCAATGTATAAAGTCAGCTGCAGGACTTGTCAGAGCCTTTACCACATTGATGGGTATTATCTCCTTCTGGGAGGCAGCATTTTCCAAGCTTGTCTGACCTCCCTGATGTTAGGCTGAGGGTGCGAGACTGGGCAACCTTGCCCCATTAGCGCCTCTGACCTATGCACCACCTCCAGGACCTGGATTACCTGTCCGAAGGCCTTGAAGGCCGGTCCCAAAGCCCTGTGGCCCTGCTCTTTGATGCCCTCCTGCGCCCGGACACAGACTTTGGGGGAAACATGGAGTCCGTTCTCACCTGGAAGCACCAGAAGGAGCGAGCCATCCCCCACATGGTCCTAGGCCGGAACCTGCCTGGGGGAGCCTGGCATGTGAGTGGGGGCTGGGGGAGTATGAGGGGGGCTTTGGGCCTGAAGTCAAGGCCTCCCATGCCCTGCCTCCCTGCCTCCTTGTTGGGCTGGGGCTAGGAGAGGCCTGGACCAAAGGTCTTCTTTTGCTCACAGTCCATCGAAGGCTCCATGGTGACTCTTAGCCAAGGCCAGTGGATGGGGCTCCCAGACCTGCAGGTCAAGGAGTGGATGTGCAGGAAGCGAAGGTGAGGAGGCTCTGGAAAGCCCGGGGTGGACAGGGATGAGCAGGGCCCACCCCCACATGCAGCCCAGGAGCCAGAGCTATAGGGGCTGTGAGGCTCCCCTAGCCTGCCCTTCCTCTTACTCCAGTGTGGGATACGGAGGCTCCGCTGGGGAAAGGACTTGTCTCGGCCCACGGGGGGCTGGACTCACCCCAGGACCCTGCCAGTCTGATGCATAACTCCCCAGCATGGTCCCTGGGAGCGTCCCAGCCTCTAAGGAGGGTGTAATGGCTGGCCCTGCTCTGTGCCTCTGGCCAGGCTCCCTGGCCCTCTGGCCTCCCTGCTGCCCTTCCTCCTGCTCAAGCCTGGCCTGGAATAATCTTTCCACTTCTAGATCAGCTAAGAGGTTGCACTTCCTTTAAAAAAAAAATGCTTTTGCAATAAAAACATAACCACACATAGAAAAGGAAGACAACTCACCCCAACCCCCCAACCCCATGCCTGTACCCATCACTGTCCCATTTGGGGGTCCTTCCCCCCATCCTCCTCCACCTTGTTTCCTGTTCCGTCATGACCACACTGCACACGTCTGACCATCCTGGAGGAAAAAGCCCAATCACTGAACAAGTGAATTCCAGCCCCTGCTCATCCTGGGGAGCGAAGCAGCAAGTTCCCCGGTGCTCCAGGGGGGTGGGTGCAGGGTCGCCACTTGGGTGGTGGCTGACCTTGTGTGACCCTGTTCCCTCCGACCCCGGGTGCCATGACACAGGCTGGTCGTCCCCCCCCCAGCAACTCAGTTTCACAAAGACTTTGTGTCCCTGCAGACTTGGCAGGAAGATACCCAGGCTAGTGTAGGGATGTGTCAACAGAGCGACAGGAACTGAAATTTTAATTGTAGACATACTTTTATATTTCACTTTCACATTTAACGTTCAGGCATAAGGGTTTCACGTGGTGAAGACAGCGTTTGCAACTGTCTTTTACGGAGCCACATAATATTCCCCATCAAGCACATCTGCTCCTGCTCCTGTGCACCAGGCCACACCCACGGCAGCCACACTCCCTGCCCTCCTGGTGCCGCCAGGGCTCCGAAGCCCCCCACGCCCCCCAGCCCTGTGGCTTTGTTTCTTAGAAAGAACCCTAGATGTCGCACCTTAGGACCGTTCTCTGGAACAGTTTTTACTCAGAGAGGGGAAAGTGACAAACCCACAGAAAGCAGAGTTCCAGTTTCAGGAGCAGACCGGCGGGCTGGGCTGCGTGGCATGGCCTTGGGGGATGCGATGCTGGATGTGAGCTGGTGCTACCGTTGGTCCTGTTGGGTGTCACGTAGGATTCTCTGTGTTTTTTAAATTGAGAGAGAGAGAGACAAGCAGACCCCACACTGAGTGCAGAGTCCAGTGCAGGGTTCGAAACCCAAGAGTCAGGCACTCACCGACTGCGCCACCCAGGTGCCCCATGTAGGATCGCCCTTAACAACACGTCTGTGGTTAGAGTAGGTAACGCGTCCCAGGTCACCCAGGTAGACGGAGGAGCTGAGATCATGCCGAAGCCCGTAGCTCAGGCACCTGGAGACGCTGGCCCTGCGGTCATTGCCCTGGGAGGAGCGGCAGTAAAAGTGAAAACGAGAGTAGCAAGCCTGATAACAACAGTCTGCTGGGGCTGTGCGTGCAGGGCACTATGCCCAGCGCTTTGCACGGGTTGTTTTGAAGTGAACCTGTTGGTTGAAATACAGTCTTTCCTAGAGGAAAGTGCATGACTCCAGCGCACACAGGTGGTTGCAGTGCCTCAAAGTGCACACACCTGCACCGCAGCTGCCCAGAAGCAAGAACTAGGCCCCCTGCCCCCCGCAGCCCTGCTCTTACGGTCCCCATCACGGCCCCCTTCCTCCCGCCCCGGGGGAGCCACTCTCTACCGCTAACTCCGGAGAGCAGCCTTACCTGTTTCCGAGCTTGGGAGAGATGGAAGCCTAGCACCTTCGTGTAGATTCGTAATTAGTCTTTGGAGGTAGGACCAGTGGCTGACTCTTCCCTGCCCCCCACCACCTGGCAGCTTCTATCCTACGATTTCTGTGCACATCACAGCCGACCCTCAACAGCTGCGTGAAATCGCTCTGTCACCACCATCATCCCTGTGTGCAAATGAGGCATGGAGTGTTTCAGGCACGTAGCTCACCAGCAGGATTTGAACCCAGGCCACTTGGCTTTAGAGACCACAGTCTCAACCCCACCCTACTGAGGAACCTGCATTAGTTCTGTTTTACACATGACGAGCTGCAGGCTCCGAGGGGGTAAACTAAGTCCCACAGCGGGGGAGGCAGAGCCACAGTCCAGCCGCCGGCCTGGTCACCCCCAACTGTGGCCCTCCACCCCAGGTCTGCTCTCTGACACCCGCCCCCCTGAATCCTTCCCTTCAGAGGTCTTCGTAACAGCCGAGCCACGGCTGGGGACATCGCTCACTACTACAGGGACTATGTGACCAAGAAGGGCCTGGGTCACAACTTTGTGTCCGGTGCCGTGGTCACGGCCGTGGAGTGGGGGACACCTGTGTCCGGTGGCTCCGGGTCTCCGGCCCCCAGTCCCCTCTTCCAGGTGAGCGGCGTCCTGACCATGGAGGACCAGAGCCAGCAGCCCTTTTCCCTATGTGCCCGCAACGTGGTCCTGGCCACGGGCACATCCGACAGCCCGGCGCGCCTGGGCATCCCTGGGGAGGCCCTGCCCTTCGTCCACTACGAGCTTTCGGCCCTGGAGGCGGCCACAAGGGCCGGAACGGTGACCCCGGCCTCGGACCCCGTCCTCATCATCGGCGCGGGGCTGTCGGCCGCCGACGCGGTCCTCTACGCCCGCCACTACAACATCCCCGTGATCCACGCCTTCCGCCGCTCCGTGGATGACCCCGGCCTGGTCTTCAACCAGCTGCCCAAGATGCTGTACCCTGAGTACCACAAGGTGCATCAGATGATGCGGGAGCAGTCCATCCTGTCGCCCAGCCCCTACGAGGGCTACCGCAGCCTCCCCGAGCACCAGCTGTTGCTCCTCAAGGAGGACCGCCAGGCCGTGTTCCGGGACGCCCAGGGCCTCCAGAAGGTCTTTGGCGTTGCCCTGGTGCTGGTGCTCATCGGCTCCCACCCGGACCTGTCCTTCCTCCCCGGGGCCGGTGCCAACCTGGCCGTGGACCCCGACCTACCACTGAGCGCCAAAAGGAACCCCATTGACGTGGACCCTTTTACTTACCAGAGCACCCAGCAGGAGGGCCTGTACGCCGTGGGGCCCCTGGCTGGGGACAACTTTGTGCGGTTTGTGCAGGGTGGGGCCCTGGCAGTGGCCAGCTCCCTGCTGAGGAAGGAGGCCAGGAAGCCGCCCTAGCACCTGGCCTGGCATCCTCGTACCCAGGCCCTAAAGAGGAAGGGAGATGACCACGGCCCTGCTGGATGCCCCAGTGAGGGAAGGGGGCCTCTCCTGGCAGGAGACAGGAGGGGCCGTGAGCCCAGGCGGCGAGCCTCTTGGATGAAGAGGAGTGGGGAGCCCAGGCTGCTGGGACTCAGACTAGTACCAGGGTGGGAACAGATGCTGCAGGCCAGGGGGGGCGGTGATTTAGGGTGAAAGCTGCTGGTAAGAGCTGGGGTCACCAGGGCCAGCTGAGCCAAGAGGACTCCAGGCTCTACTGCTTCCAGAATCAGGTTCCAATTAAACCCAGTGCCTGCCTCCACTCCCGTGTCTGAGGATTCTGTGCATGGGGAGGGGGCTGGGTGCCCGGGGAAGCACAGGGCCATGTGGGAGGTCCTTGGGATGGGGAGTTTTGTGATAAGGGATGGTGCCCAAGTCTGGGTACAGCTGTGTTAGGGACGTGAGGGGAGGGTGTGTGTGGGGAAGGATATGCTGGGGAGGCCTTCACAGCCCTGCCCACCTCTCCAGCCTGGCCCCTCTCTCCCACGCTCCCTCCTGGTCACACTGTCTCTTCAGTCCTTCATGCTCCCTCAGCTCGCACTGGCCACAGGGCCTTTGCAGGGGTGGGTTTCCCACCCAGGACACTTTACTCTTCTAACTCGTCTTCCACTGCCGTCAACCTAAGGATCACTTCCTCCAGGCAGCCCCCTCGTCACCAGGGCAGTCCCGCTGGTGGCCCAAGGTTCAGAAGTAATGGTTCGTTTATCTACGGGATCGCTCCCCACTTGGATGTAGGTTCCAGGAGGCCGTGGACAGCCCCGCCCCCGCCCCCAGTCCCAGGCCCTCGCTCATCCTTTGGACAGGTGGACGGTGGTGGGTGGGGCCTGAGGGGAAGAGGGTGCTGGGGCGCCGGCGGGCGCTCCGCTGCGGCAGGGGGTTGGGGGGGCTCGCAGGCCCCGGGAGGGCGGGGGAGGCCGAGCGCGTGGGCGCCGGTCCCTGGAGCTGCCGCCAGCAGGGGGCGCCCCGGGCTCGCCGGACACCTGCGCTCCGGCCCCTGCGTCGGCGCCGCGGGGGGGCTCGGGGGGGGGCTCGGGGGGCTCCGGGAGGGGGCGGCCCCCAGGGGAGGCCCCGCGGCGCCGGCGGCGGGGCGGGGCGGGGCGGGGCGGGGCGGGGGACGCGGGGCACGTGGCCCGGGGTCCGGGCGAGCGCCCCCCCCGCGGTGGCCGCGGGGCCGCGGGAGGCGGGGCGGGGCGGCGGGGCGGGGAGGGGCGGGGAGGGGCGGGGAGGGGAGGGGGCGCGCGGGGGCGGGCCGCGGGCCGGGCGGGGGTCGGCGGGCTTCCGGGCGGCGCGGGCGGGCGCGATGTGCGAGCGGGCGGCGCGCCTGTGCAGGGCCGGCGCGCACAGGCTGCTCCGGGAGCCGCCGCCGCAGGGCCGGGCGCTGGGCGGGCTGCTGCGCTGGGTGGGCGCCAGGATGGGCGAGCCCCGGCCGCCGCTCGCCCCCGCCGCCCCCGCCCCCGCCCCCGGCCCCGGCCCCGGCCCCGCCGCCCCGGCCCGGCCCGCCGCCCCGGCCCCGGCCCCGGCTCCCCGCGCGGGGGCACCGCGGTCATCCTGGACGTGAGTACGCGCCGGCGACCCCCGGGACCCCGCGCCCGCCCCCGGGACCCCCGCCCCCGGGACCCCCGCCCGGGACCCCGCCCCTCCCGCCACGGCTCGGGATCCGCACCTGCTCCGAGCCGCGACCCTTCGACCCGGCCACCGCCCCCCTACCTCGGTCCGGGCTGCGCCCTCGCCCCCACCCTCTCCCTCCCGCCCCTGCCGCCTCCCGCCGCCTCCTCTCCATCCCGCCCCGTCACTACTTCTCCGAGACCCCCTCCCGCCCGGCCCCAGGCTCCGGTGCCCCGACTCTCGTCCTGGCCGCGGACCCGGAGCCCGCGTGTTCCCGCCCCAAAGCCCCTTCCCCCGCAGCCAGCAGCTCTTGGAAAGCGAAGCCCCCCCCCGTCCCCCCTGTCAGCGGATCGGGGCCACCCGGACTCCCCGGACCCCCCGGACCCCCCGGGCTCCCCGCCCCCCTCCAGCCTGAGCCGCGTCAGTCCTTCGCTCCTTCGCGCCGGCTCAGCCCCCACCCACCCACCCCGGCAGCCGAGCCACCCCCTCTGGGAAGCCCACCTCACCCTCCCGCCCTCTCCCCGGGGGTGGGAGGAAGCTTCTGCAGGGCGGACCGCTGGGGGTGGGGCGTGGGGTGAGGGCGAGGCGGTGGGCGCCCTGCCCGGGCACCACCCCAGTCCCCAGTCCCCAGTCCCGACAGCCTGGCCGTGGCCACAGGACATGCATGTCCCGGGGAGGGTCCTGGGCCCCGGGGGCTCCTGGGACAGTTGTGTCTGCATGTCTGATTGTTAGGGGGAGCGTGGATCTCCCCTCCCCCTTCCTTCCTCTCTCCTGGAACCCACAGTTGGCCCTGGGCAGAGAGGGCTGGGCAGGGAAGGGGGAGCTGGGCTGTGGGGTGCTGGAGGCTGCCCCCAGAGACATGCAGGCACGCGCACACGCACACACAATCTTGCACAGCCAGATCCTCTCTCAGGTCCCCCACAGAGTTCGTGCCGGGAAAACCGGGGCCACCCTTGCAGGGAAGCCCTGTCCAGACCCTTCCCGTTCCAGCAGTGCGGGCAGGAGGCTCGGGGTCCTCCTGGTGCTGGTGCGGGTGGGCTCCGAGACTCCTCTCCTCCATCTAGGAGATGGAGTGATGAGTGGGGGTGGGGAGCAGACTCCTGGAGCCACCTTAGGTGGTCTGCACCATTCACTTGCTTGGCGTGTTCAGCGTGGGCACCTGCGGGGGGGACCCCGGCCCCAGAGAACTTTGCAGTGGGGAGCAGGGGTGTGGAGTGCCCAGGCGGGCAATGGGTGCTCTGCTAATTAGTCTTCCTTCTGCCCCAGCCACGGCAGCTCCTGCTCGAGCACCCTCAGCTAGGGTTTCAGCTGGGGGAAGAGGGGGGTGATGTGTAGGAAGCCCCTTCTGAGCTGCTGCTTCAGTTTGTCACAGTCTCGAGTACTTGAGGGGATGGGGGGACATCTGTCCTTGGCCCCAGGGCAAGCACCAAAGGTCAGATGGTCAGAGGGGTTGGTGCCTCCCCCTGCTCCTTCTGTTCACCATGGCTCACCTTCTTCTAAAAATACCAGGAGGGCTTATCTGGTCTCAGCTCAGGTTTGGGGGGGGTGGCTGTCACTCCCCCATCCCTCCCCCACCCCCTCCCCGTGCAGCCAGAACCTGGCACCTGCAGCTGGCTTTCTGAGCTCCACTCGGCCTGCTTCCACCCACTCCCCCACCTGAAAAATAATCCAGCACTGCCCCTGGCTGGCCCAGTTGCCAGCCCTGGAGGTTCCCTTAGCAGACATCTCTGTTGACACTAAACCAACCCCCGTGGGGGGAAATCGGGGCTCCCACGGGCTTCCGAGAGGGGTGCAGCGGTATGAGGTGTGTGGCTGTGTCCGTGGGACACAGATTCCCATTGTGTGACTGAGCGTAGCACAGTGGGTGAGGCCGCGTGGACTGCTGGCTCTGCAAGCACACCCGCAAGCATGTGGATCGGTGTGAGCGTGTGTGTCCACGTGTGTGTGCGCATGTCGGCACAGAAGAAGAGTGGGTGCTGCTTCCTCGCAGGCGCCTGGGAGGGCTGTGCCTGAAGCATCCCTCCTGCCCTGGATCCCAGCCGGGGCCTCCTGGGGGAGGGGCTGCTCAGCTTCCCAGGCCCCCCTGCACCCCCGCCCCCCAGGAGCGGGATCCCAAGATGAGTTGGGAGCCACTGGAGGGCGCCTGCCCCTCTGGGGCCCAGGCTGACTCTACTTCTCTTCTCTGCAGATTTTCCGCCGGGCGGACAAAAATGGTGAGTTTCCCTCCCAGGCTGTCCCCTGAACAAGGTCCTGGCTCTTTCTGTCCTGACGCTTCGGGGGCAGGGACCCGGGCTTGGGACATGGACCGCCTTGTACGTGATGGTTTCTGAAGTCAGAAAGCCGAATCCTGGCTCTGCCCTGTGCCTCAGTTTCCCTGTCTACACAGTGGAATTCACATAGTTCCTGCTTGGTAGGGATGCCACAGGGATTCAAGGAGTTGGTGTCTGTGATGCCAGGATGTCTTGCACATAGTAGGTGCTTGGTGTACTTCAGCCCTCATGCCGCTGGGCTGGGCTGGAGCAGCCCGGGTAGGGGGTAGGGGGTGCCTAGGGAGCACCCTTGAAGGAAGCCCTCAGCCTCACTCCAGGCCCTGCCCAGGCCCTGGCATAGGTCTTCCTCACCGCCACCTAATATACTCGGTGCTGTTGCTCCTGTCCTGATGATTCCGTAGTGGCCCAGAGGGTGTCAGTGACTTGCTCAGGGTCACCCAGCTGCATGAAGGCAGTGGAGCTTGTGCTGCAGACGCCTGGACCTTTCCCCACGTCAGGCATCCTCCCCAATGATGTGAGCGGCACATTGTCATGGCCACTAAATTCATGACACGGCACCTCTCCTGACTTCGACAATCTCCCCCGTACAAGGAAGGTGGGGGCCTGAGAATGACATTTCCCAACGCCCCCCAAGCCTGACAGTTGCAACAAGGAGCAGCACAAATTCATGTAAACATCGTGGTCCTTATTCCTGGGGCCAGAGCAGCTCTCCGTGGACTTTAGCCAAGACACTCCCTCTGCAGGCCTCAGGCTTCTCATCTCTAAAGTGGGGCACTGACGCTTAACCTGCCTGTTTTCTTGGCTCTTGGGAAAATGTAGGGAGGAGATGTGAGAAGGTGGGGAGCAGATGGCCCTGGGGCCCAGCACCTCTCCTGCATGGCTGGAGGTGATGGTGGCAGCGCTAACCTGGGTCCCCAGCACCCTGGTCCTCTGACCCTGGGGGTTACTGCTGACCCTTCCCCCACCCCAGTGTTGAGAGCTAGAATATGAGGCCTTGGGGGCTGGGGGTACATAAGCCTGGCCTGGAATCAGGGCCTCAGGGTCTCTATCCCTTGCCCCCTTGCTTCCCAGGCCTCTTGGGACACGAGACTCTCAGCAGCAGTTCCATTTGGAGCAGGGAGGAGGGAGAGGGATGTGGGGGGCCTCCAGTGATCTCGAGAAGCAGTTGTGGCCTCTAGGCCCAAACAGCCTCTGAGCTTAAAGCAGGGGGCCGAGGGGCTTCATCCCTGACACGGGCGTCTCTGTGGCATCTTCAGAGCGCAGCCACCAGGGGCTGTGTGGTCACCTTCACCTGCTGGCCAGGCCCCCTGGGCAGATCGTGAGCCCCTGGCTGGTAGGAATCGGAGCTTGTCCCTGTCATGGGCCTGATGCCCGGCACCCAGTGGGTCCTCAGCCAGCGTCTGTAGGCTTACAGGTACCAGGTCTGTTCCTTGCTGAGCACGGCTGTGCACGGCCACGGGGTGCAGCGTGAGTCTGGCCGGGGGGCCCCCACGGCGGCTGTCCGCATGGCCGCGTCTCTGTGGTACTGCTGGACATACGGCACATGTGGACCTGGGTGCCTCATGCACCTGCTTGCGGTGGGAGGTGTGGGTGGCGCACTGGCCTCCCTTCAGGCACAGATGGGGACTCCTCCTCGTCGCCTGTTGCCCTGTCAGAGGCCGTGTTTCCACCCCCTGAGCACAGCTGTGGGGGTCCCTCGACGTGGCTCTGCGGCCCCCACAGAGGCTGGGCCCGTCCTCCTCCTGGACCTCAGGTCTTCCCGGCCACCCTGAGGACCCCCGGGAGGCTGTCACCAAGGTTGATGTGGGCATGTCATGTGGGTTCCGGGGGAGCTTCCGGGGCCTGTAAGCAGGTGAAATCCCTTCTCTGTCACAAGGACTGCCGCGTTCGAGTCCTGGCTCTGACACTTGCCAGCTCTGTGACCTCAGGCCTCAGTCTCCCCATCTGTAAGTGGGCATGATGACGCCGGGACCCCTCTCAGAGGGCCCTGGTGGAGCTAGCACGGAGTCCAGGCACCCGTGCCACCTGTGGGCTCGGACACCACGGTTTGCCAACAGGTTTTGGGTTCCCACCTGTGCTCCCTGGGGAGTTCCTACCTGTGTCTGGGGGGGCTGCCGGCAGCTAACGAGCACCCACTCATCGACCCCATTGGGGCTTTACGGTGCTACTGCTGGGATCAGAAGCATCACCCTCTTTCTAGAGATGACAAAAGCCAGGCCCAGAGCTCGCAGGTGTGGGACTGCAGATCCTTGGCTGGGGAGCCACGCAGGCAGTTCTTTTTTTTTTTTTTAATTAATTAATTTATTTATTTATGATAATCACAGAGAGAGAGAGAGAGAGCCAGAGACACAGGCAGAGGGAGAAGCAGGCTCCATGCACCGGGAGCCCGACGTGGGATTCGATCCCGGGTCTCCAGGATCACGCCCTGGGCCAAAGGCAGGCGCCAAACCGCTGTGCCACCCAGGGATCCCCACGCAGGCAGTTCTGATGCCGCCCGGCCCCATTTGAGAACACGTGTGGTTTGGGGATTAGGAGTAGGTGTGGACGCAGGTGCAGCCAGAGCTGCACACAGCGCACACGCACTGAGCAGTTTAACACAGGTGGGTGCCTGCCCTGCCCCAGGCACCCACAGGAGCGATCCGGGGGTGCAAGGTGGGGTGTGGTCTCCTGGACAAGCTTCCGGGATCCCAGGGCCAGGCGCTCGGGTCTGGCCTGTGCTGGCAGCTCCCAGGGCTCGGGCTTCTTCATTGAGATAGCCCTGTCGTCACTCCTAGGGGAGGCTGGGGGTCAGGGTCTGCCCACGCCTGGGGCATGAAGCCCAGACGGTGGCATGTGGCGTCCAGTGGAAGGGTGAGCGCCAGAGTGCGTGTCTCTCCAGGGACATGGACATGCAGACTCCTGGCATTTGAAAGGTCACAGAGGCTGAGCTCATGCTAATTAGTGAAGACACCTGCAAACGCCCGCTCGGGGTCCTTGCTGGGAGGGAGGGGCGCCAGGCCTGCTCCTCTGATGCTACAGAGGCCTGGGTAGGAGATGTTACTTCCCTCATTAGCGGATCTGGGTTCATTAGGGCTGTGGTAGGACATTCAAGGTAAATGTCAGCTGAGAGGACTGTGCTCGGGCGGCCCGGTGGGCAGAGGGGATGGAGGAACCTGGAGGCCGGAGGAGCTGGAAGCAGAGAGATCCCCCCTGCCACCCCCCGCGCTGTGCCCGTGGCCGCCGTGACCAATCAATCACTGCCGCTTCCACTGAGTGCAGGCATGGCCTCAGCTCTTGCACACAGCCCTGGGGGGGGCAGTTAGGGGGCGCGGTGGGGGGTCTTCTGGCCAGAAAACTCTGCCCCGGGTTGGCGTGAGAGCATGGGCTTGGGGGCTGTTGGCTGAGGTTCTAACACCAGTTGTGATACCTTTAGCGGTTCTGTGCAGGGGCGGGGCGGGGTGGCTGTGTTTGGGGACAGGGGACTCTTGTATTTGAAACTTACAAACCCGTTTCCCTCTGTGACGCTGAAAGTGGAGCCCGGATGTGAGGCAGCCGGGAGGTTGCACATTCATATCCCCCCCCCCCCCCCGCCCCTGACACCGTGTGCCTGCTGGGCCAGAGGGGAGACGGGGCGGGAAACCGAGGCAAGGTGCGAGGCTGTCCCTCCGCTGAGCTTCTACTTCCGCTCTACTGGGAGCCCCTGCAGAGCTTGTGGGAGCAGAGCTAGATCATCCCGAGCCTTTAAAATACAAGAATGGGGGCGCCTGGCTGGCTCCGTCGGTTGAACGTCGACTCTTGATTTCAGCTCAGGTCGTGAACTCGGGGTCCTGGGGTCGAGGTTCGTGCAATAAAGAGTCTGCTGGAGATTCTCTCCCTCTGCCCAATCCCTCCTCCCTCCTGACCAGGAAGGGGCATCTCTTTCTAATCCACACAGGGGTGCCATGTGGGCTTGTAGGGACTTTGATTGCAGAGTGGCTGGAATAGAAGGGGGTCTGTGCTGAGGGGCTGGGGGCTTCCTTCCCTCTGACTCCCACAGCCCCCACCCCACAGGTGTGGCTCCTTTAAGGAGCAGTGGGAGCTGGGCTGAGATGGTTGAGGAGGGGGTGGTGGAGGTCCTTGCAGGAGCTCGGCAGGTGTGCCCAGGTGGAAGGAAGTTGCTGAGGCTGAGGGTGGAAGTGTGGGGTCTGCCTCTCCCAGAGTCACTGCCCTTCTGCTGTGAGCCCCTCCCTCAGTGACCACCCGCCCCCAGCCCAGGAGACTGCCCCCCCACACACAAATGCTGTTGCCCAGGGGTCCTGCGTGTGGATGGAGAAGAGGTGCAACAGAGGGTGGGACCGTGCTGGGCCCTGGGCAGCCTGGGTGCTTCCCTCCCTTGCGGTTTGGCATCTTCACGGTTGGGTCTCTGGTGGGGTGAGAACTCCCTGCCAAGTGTCGGCAGCTGTTGCACATCAGACCGCATGAAGGTCTGGGCTCAAAGTTTGTCATGAGGAAGGGGCAGAGGGGAGGAGGGTGTCCCTCCCCCAAGTCAGGACCTGGGTGCTGGGGTTGGAGAGCATGCAAGCATGGGGGGGGGGCACTTGGAAGCAAGAGAGAACGGCCATCACACCCCGTGGCCTCCGTGCAGTGCTGCCTTAAACCTCACCCAGCTGCAGGTGGTCGGCAGGTGAGGAGAGAGATGCACCTGCCGGAACAGGTGCTCTCCCGTAGTTCAGTGCATCAGCGACGAGCCCCGGCAAACTCGCTGCTGCTTGTGGTGGTTGCCGGTTTGGGGATTATCTGTAAGTGGGTGTTGAGGTGTGGGTCTGGGAATTAGCCGGATAAGTCGGCGATATTCTGTGAACTAGAGTTTCCTCATTTAGTTGGGTATTCGCTGGCAGACGGAGATGATCTGGCCAGAGTTTATCTGTTGATTTGGGAATTGTCTGGATTTGGGGGACGTCTTATCGCTTAGACACCAGCTGCTCTACCTTCTTCCTCCCTACTTTGCAGACGATGGGAAGTTGTCCTTGGAGGAATTCCAGCTCTTTTTCGCAGATGGCGTCCTCAATGAGAAGGAACTGGAGGATCTCTTTCACACCATCGACTCTGACAACACCAAGTGAGCGAAGCCCTGGTCGCTGGGGCATCCAGGGGTCTGGGGACGACCGTCTTTCCCCTCAGCTAGGGCATCAGTCTCTCCTTCCCACTCCCCTGGAGGAACAGGAGATCCAGAACATCCCCACACTCACTGATCCGAAAGTCAGATCTGTTTGGCCCCCACTGGCCGGGGTGACCTGGGAAGTGGGCAGTTGGCATTGCTTTGGCAGTTTGTCCTTCCTGAGCACACGTGGCTAAGAAGGGACAGACCCTCGATCCTGCAGCACGAACACGGGGGAAGTTGGCCTCCACCTTCTGCCGACTCAGCCTGGCTCTGACCCCGGCACCTGGTGCTCCTCCGCAGTCCGACCTGAACTCCGTGACCTTGATCTCACGGCTCCTGTCTTAAACCAGACTGACAGATACAATCCTAGCTCTGACTTTAAGCTCACTCCTCTGTATCTAGCTAAACCCCACTGTAACCCCCGGAACTTGCATCTCAGAGCTAAAAACTCTGGCCTAAGCCATCCGTAAGTCACGCAAAGTGCTCGTTCTATTGTTCTACTCACAGGTACGCGACCCCACGACCTCACCCCCTGCCCCCCACCCCCACAGAATTCCCAAAGCAGGATGAGGCCCAGCCCCCTTCTCTGCCCCTCAGTTGGTCACCTTCCTCGGGCCCACACTGGGAACCAGAGTTCCGAGGGTGCTGCTTGGAGCAGATTTGATGAGTTGGGGTCCCCTGAGACAGGCTGGAGGTGGTCTGGACAAGGAGCTGCCCCCAAGCCTGCTTGCAAGGGACGCAGCACAATCAGTGATGGCCTGGACCAGAGGTTGGGGCCGAGAGTGTCCTGGGAGGCACAGGCTGGGGACCAGGGTGGGCAGGTGTCCCTGTCCAGGGAAGGCCACTTGAAACGGCTTCCTGCCCTTCCTGCCCTAGACCCAGTGAAGGGCTTTGCTTCTGCAAACAGATGGAGGTTTCTGAGTGGTTCCTGCAGCTCCCCCAGGGAGCTCTGAAAGGGCTAAGCACAGGCCTCTTGGTTTACTCATTTTCATGGTGCCTTTTGTGTTGAGCCAGCTGGGCAGGTGGGAAAGGAGGCTTTGGTTGGAGAGTTTAACCAATGAGTGTGTGACCTCACAGAAGGTCAGAACTCTAAAGACTTTAGTATTATCCTCTCCAGCATCCCCATTCATTCTTTGGGATGCTAAACAGGCTTTTTGCCCAGAACGGTTCACATGGATCAGAAAGTACTAGTAAAATCCTATTAAGCACAATTAAACAAGCTTCCTTTTTGCAGGACTTATCAGAACATCTAATATATGATGTGAATTGGAGGAAGCTCCAAGACAGGGCTTCCAAAGCCTCTGAACGTAGAAGCATCTTACTGAACTCGGGGTTCCAGGAGCTCTCCAACCCAGGGCAGCCCCTCCTTTCTCAGGGAACTGTGGCCCAGAAAGGGCCAGGTTATCAGAACCTGCACAGACACTCAGGTCCCTGGCATCTGATGCTAGCACCCCGCACCACTATGTCTCTGTTCTGAGGCCGCTACACGCAGCTTCTCCAGCATGGGTGGCATTCTGGTGCCCAGTCTCCTCCGAGGAAGGACATTATCCTCTTGCGTTGTAGGAATGGGGATGAGGAGGGCTGTCCCAGGACCCAAAGGTAGGGAGGCCCCGGGGCAGCCTACACTGGTCTTGGGCCCCCCACCTTCTGTCCCGTTCCCTCTCTTCTCCCCGCCCCCGGCCTAGCCGTGTTTCGGGTCCCCTGTGCTTGTGACGCAGGGGGTGGGGAGGGGCACGGAGAGGAAATGAGTGGTGGTGGGGCCAGAGAACACAGGTGTGGGTCCCTGCTCTGTCCTTGGGAGGGGCATCATCCTTGACCTGCTGCAACCTCACCTGCAGAACAGGGTTCACAGGGCCAGCCCAGCACGTGGGGCGGACAAGAGAGAGAAAAAGAGAGAGAGATTGTGCGCACACGCACACACTTGAGCGGCGGGCACTTCACCAGCCCGGCCGTGCACGCTGCGGAGGGGGAGGGCGGGTGGGACGGGACAGGCCTGACCCACGTCTCCCTTCTTCTCTCTGCAGCCACGTGGACACCAAGGAGCTGTGTGGTAGGTGCCCACCTCTGCAGGGACCAGGACCCGGGTGGTGGGATGGGACTTGGGGGAGTGATGGGGGCACAGGTGGGATCCTCCTCATCCTCTGCCCCTGACCTTTGCTTTGCCTTCCGTCAGATTACTTTGTGGAGCACATGGGGGATTATGAGGACGTCTTGGCCTCCCTGGAGACCTTGAATCACTCCGTCCTGAAGGCCATGGGTTACACCAAGAAGGTGAGAGGGTGTGGGTGGCCCCTGGGGCTCCAAGGCCTCAGTGCTGGTTTGGTTTCTTCCAGGACGTCCTCACCCAAAGAGGCCCTGGATGTGTGATGCCGAGGGTTTGGGTAGGTCTGACTCTGGGGTAGGCTTTCCTCGGGGCACCCAGAGGGGGCTAATAGACACTGTGAAGTGGATGGAATGGCTTGGCGAATGGCCTAGTCCTGTGGTGTTTGGTTTGGAGCAAGAGGCCCTTGTGTGGAACTGGGCAGAGTCTAGGTGCACAGTCCTAGAGAGGGGGCAGCGGCCTCCCTGAGCCCTCCGGCATCCTGGGATGGGTGGGGGACCCGCCAGTCTGGCACCTTCTGTAGCAGAGTTACAGGATGGGGTCCTGCATCTGCATCTGACTCAGCCTCTGGCGTGAGAACTGTGTCCAGGCAGCAGGGCCATTAGGAATGTGGGGAGCAGGCCCAGGGCAGGGTCCCCCATGTGTTCCAGAGAGAGGTCTCGGAGGTGGCCCAGCGGCTCTGCCCACAGTCCTGTCACCCCTGTGGGCACGTGGACCCTGGAGGAGGACGGAAGGCAGGGAGCCAGGCCCGAGGTGGGGGCTGGGCGTTGTGCAGTCTCTGTTGAAGTTCATGGGCAGAGGCAGCCCGTTCCCCCAGCCTTGGTCTGCACCCCACTGGGCCAGCGGCTGCTGAAAAGGTAGGCATCCAGGGAAGAGGTGCACACAGAGCTTGCTGAGACCCACAATGGCTGGCCCTGGGGGGTAGTCACTGCCCCTGCGTCACTGCCACTGTCACCAGCCCCATTTCACAGCTGTGGAAACAGGCTCAGAAGAGGGACCCCTGCAGAGTTGTAGCTGGATGGCCGTTGGCTGAACAAACCATTGCTGGCTGAAATGAGACGCTGAGGCAGGGACCTGGAGGGTGGTCTGGGGCACGGCTGTGGACTCTGCACCTGCCCAGGGGTGACAGGAGGGCCATTCAGCTGGGAGGGGGACAGAAACTGAGCGAGGCATGCAGGGAGAGAGTGGGGAGCAGGATGCAGACCTGGCTGAAGGACCCTGAGCCAGCCCCTTCCCACTGCGAACCTCAGTTTCTCCATCTGCGGAATGCAGCCAGTGTTTACCTTAGGGTCCTCAGGGGGGAATGAATTCATTAAGGTCTCTGAGCTGCTTAGCACAGCACCTGGCACAGAGCAGAGGTGACTCTTTCATCATTAGCCCGGACAGAAGCAAGACGACATTTTTTGTCAAATGGTAGCAGTTACTGCTCTGCACGGATCAGAGAATCCCTTTTCTCCTATAGGTCTCAGAAAAGTGAGGCCTGATCCCGAGCCTCCCCGAACCCACGTTCCCATTCCTGTCCTCGGGTCCTGCTAGCACAAGTCTTGGATTTTCAGAGCGTATTTTAAAGACTGTATAAGACCAGTTGCCTGTCATTGTTCATCTGCCTGGACTTTCTTTTGGATGTTCTGAACGTATCAGGTGGGCGGTGGGTGGCAAGGGAGTGTGGAGAGACCCCAGACTCTGGAATCCCTGCGGGGACCAGAGTATGAGCCCAGCTCTGCTCCGATGGCCTGTGTTCCTCCAGGGGTCCTCGAGGCAGAGGCGCTTCCCTGCGATGTCGTCTCGAGGCATTACTGCTGTGCACGGTTACTTCTTGGTCTGTGGTCACAACTCTTCAGAGGGGCCACCTAATTCTCCATCGGGGAGAGGATTTTGGCACCTACCAACCCCACTCGGGCCAGTTTGGGAGTTTCCGATCTCGGAGAGAGAGAGCACCCCGTGTTCAGCGCAGCCTTGGGGTGTTTCTGGCGGTGATGGTTGGCTTCTGCAGCAGCCGTGGGCATTCCTTTTGTTTGCAGAGTTTTGGTTGTAGAAATGCAACTTGTTGATTATTTCCAATGCTTCACTGATATCATCGATCTGTGTTGACACATTTGCACTTTTTTTTTAAGATTTATTAATTTGAGAGATAATGAGAGAGGTCACAGGTGGGAAGGGGTGGAGAAAGCAGCAGACTCTCCACTGAGCAGCGGGGAGCGTGATGCGGGACTCGATCCCAGGACCTCAGGATCATGATCGGAGCCGAAGGCAGACGTTTCACTGCCAGAGCCCCGTAGGCGCCCTCGTTGGCTTTGTCAGTCGGCAGTGCTGGCCTGAGGTGGGATCCGGTGCACTTGCCTGTTCGCTCCTGGCCTGTGGTCCTCTCCCCTCTCTCTCCGGCCCCGCCGTGTCCTGTCCCCACCCCCCCCACGTTCCGAGGCCCCGTGCTGCTCCTGCGTCACGCATCCTTGTTTGGCTCATGATTTTCAAGTGCCTCTCTCCTGTATTTCTCCACTAATGACAATATTAATACCACGTCTTATTTTTAGAATCCTTTTCAGCCTGTTAAAAAATATATGTATTTTTGCCTTCCCTTCGTTGAATTTCGTCTTAGGAGGTGGTAGTGAATTTTTTAAATTGCATCTCTGATGACGTGATTTTTCTTCAGCGATTGATGGGGTGGATTCTATTCTTAGAGTCTCTCCTGTTGAAGGATCCTGCCCTTCCTGTGATGAACCCCGACTGGCGCCCGAGCCCTCCCGCTAGCCGAGCGCTCTCTGTCTCTCTTGGAAATTGAGGCTGGACCTTCATTTGGGAGTGAATTGTAGGTGGTTTGGAGTATCTGCTGGGTGGGAATCAGCTTCTCTATCACAGAATCCTTTATCTGTTCAAAAAGAGAGAGAAGGTATCCCTGAGGCCAGGGTCGAGGTCCTAAGCAGGGGAGGGGAATATTTTCAGAGATGTTTCAAGGTCAATCCTACTTTCAGTGAAGCATTTTACTTTTTTGTGTCCATTTCAGCGTAGTGTTAAACCAGACTGGCGTGGACGCATTCAGTTTCGTGATCACTCATGCATAGTATGTTGTTGAATTTTTTTAAATCTAAAACCTTATTTGAGGCAGAACAGGTACTTCATGAAGATTAAGTTCAACGAAACATCTGCGTTTCTAGCTCAAGCCTCGTTTTAACTTTTGTCCTGTTTTGCTACATTTAAAAATCTTATATTAGACAGTTTTTCCTTTTTTTTTTTTTTTTAAAGATTTATTACTGGAGCAGCTGAGTGGCTCAGACGGTGGAGCGTCTGCCTTCAGCTCAGGTCATGATCTCAGGATTCCAGATTCTCTGCTCAGCAGGGAGCCTGCTCTTCCCTCTGCCCCCCCACTTGTACTTGCTCACTCTCAAATAATATCTTTTAAAAAATAAAAAATTGTATTATTTATTTTAGAAAGAGACTGGGAGGAGGGGCAGAGGGGGACAGAGAGAAAATCTCCAGGAGACTTCTCACTGAGTGCCAAGTACAAGGACTCGGTCCAGGACCGATCATGACCTGAGCCGAAATCAAGAGTTGGATGCTTCACCAGCAGAGCCCTCCAGGCGCCTTGGTTTTGCCTCTTTTAGTTTCTAGTAATCAGCTCCTTGACACGTTTCTTTAAATTTCCCCATATTTTCTACTGTGTTTACAGTTTTCAGCCTTTTTGCCTTCTTCCTACATCCTCACGCTGGTGGTTGCTGCACCTTTTTTTTTTTTTCTTAAGATTTTATTTATTCATGAGAGACCCAGAGAGAGAGGCAGAGACACAGGCAAAGGGAGAAGCAGGCTCCATGCAGGGAGCCCGATGCAGGACTTGATCCCAGGACGCCGGGATCACACCCTGAGCTGAGGGCAGGCGCTCATCCACTCAGCCACCCAGGCGCCCGCTGCTCTTCTTTTCTGCATGTGACATGCAATGCTTCCATTCTTTTGATAACCAAGTTTGACGTTTTAAACCTTTGATGGTCTCCCTCCAGCCGTAATTCTTTTTTTTTTTAAGAATTTATTTATAAAAAAAAAAAGAATTTATTTATTTATTTATTTATTTATTTATTTATTTATTTATTTATTTATAACACAGGCAGAGGCAGAGGGAAAAGCAGGCTCCCTGCAGGAAGCCCGATGCGAGACTTGAGTGGTTTGGATTATGACCTCATGGATGCTGGAGATGTGCATTGTACTCTCCAGAATGAAATCTGAAAATGTCATCCCTTCTGGATTAGGACGTGTGTATGACTAAAAGATGCATTGTAAAGACACGATTGTAAAGAAGGGACACCATGTCTCTCAGACAAATGTCAAATGCACGTGTTCTCTCTTTTTTGTCAGCCCCAGCATTTTTGCTTATGTTACACGTGTGAATAACATCACCAGTCACTCCTTAAGTTTTGGTTTCCAAATTCAGGAAATCACAAGGCTTTTTTTTTTTTTTTTTTTTGTCTCCAAGATAAGAATTTTCTCCAATAATTTTAATCCCAGAAATACAGAGTTCACATCACTCATTTATATCTACTTGGGTTGGGTGTACGGTTTTTCGCACAAAATCTTTATATCATATACTGTATTGTCTCTACTTATTTAAAAAGGTATTCGTGACCTAATTTACGATCCTATTTCAATGACTGAATAATCAAAATAAAGTTAAGAGTTATTTTTGTTATTCGTCTTACCTTTCTACTCTCTGTAGAGGGAATATGAATATTTTAAAGGACTCCCGAATTAGTGTGAGAACGGGTAAGATGTCACAGCAAACTCAAAGGGAAATTCAAAGAACACAACATCTTTTAGAAGCAACCGGGAATTCTGGAATGAATTTGTGAATAAATACAGAACTAGCCACTGTGCCCAGTGACAGTGACAGTCATTCGCGTGCTGCCAAACAAAATCATGTGTGCTTCTGTGGATGAGAATTATTTGCAATATCATCATTATTTTACATGTTGCAGAGTTTTAAAAGTAGCTCCAAAACAAGGAAGATTCTGTGAGCCCAGAGGGTGTACCAGACAGGAGACCCAGTAATCTTTCTTGGCCATTTTAAGCACTTTCACACTTTGCTGACAATGTGCTTTCCATCCCTGTTGATTATTGTTTAATTTATCCTAGGGCACAGCGATGAGCTATTTTGTCACACTAAAGTATTTAATCTCTCTATTTTTAATATTTTCCTTTACTAATTTTTTTGGTCATGTTGTTTGATACATATGGACTTTTGCTGTGTTTTTAATATATAAATGGTACATGGTCAACTTGCAAAATTTAGGAAATAGAGAAAAGTATGAAGAGTTTTGAATCATTTCTAACTTCCACTGGTCCTCACCACTGATAACGTGTTACTTTATGACTTCATTGCCTCTGAGCCTTTTGTTCCCAAGTGTGTTTAATATGCTTAATATCATTCCTGCACAAAAACTTATTTTTTTGCTTTTCTCCCGCCTAATATTTTAACACTTTCCCTGGGTTATTAAAGCTGTCCAGAAGCATCTTTTAAAATATTCATATTTAAATGTATTTGCTCTTCTTCTGTTTGGGGCATAATAGATTATTACCAGGTTTCGGCTGCTAGCTACACTAACCTGGGGACATAAGCCTTTATGCACATGTGCGTGATTCCTTCAGGATAGATGATCAAAAGTGGAATTACTGGGTCAGAGAATACGAGCCGTGCAAGGCTCTTGATCTGAAGCGAAAGTGCTGTGTGAAGTGTCTGTGTCCATCCGAATCCCCATCGCCGTGTTTATAGCACTTTGCTGTCTCTCATCCCACGAGGGTTCGGTAACATCCTGCCCTTGCTCTGCAAGATTTCCCCATCCTGTTCTGACCCTTCTTATCTTGTGCGATATTGTGGCCTCTAAATCCCGTCTTTGAGCAATATTGCAGCTTGTCCCATTCATTTGACCAAATGTGGTGGCAGGATTTTTGCACAAACCTTTCTTTGTGAATCTTCTGATGCTGTTTTGGTTTCGAGGCGCCTCCGTTTGGATCTGGTTGCATCAGATCTGGGAGTGTGTGTTTCCAGGAGGGACTCAGGCTGCTGTCTGCTTGTCTTTATTGTTGTCATCTGTCTGTCTGCTCCGGCAGGACAGCTGTTATCCTCTAGGCTTCCCATCTTGTGTGCTTCCTTTGTCCCCTTGAGGTTTTACCTTTGGATGGTCAGCTTTCTTAATAGTATTGATTGTAATTTCTATGGTAAATATTGTAGCTTTCGTTTCACTGGAGACTTCTAAGACAGGCAGGAGCGCTCTGAATCCTGCTTTTATACCTAGCTAGTAAAAAACACTTCCTTTTGTGCAATTAAAGGAAATTTGAGATTTCCAGATGTTTTTCCATACTTTTACCCTCTTTATTAACATAATCCAATGTGATTAAAATTAACCTATTATTGATTAATGTTTTCATTTCCTAATCTCTATAACGTGAAATTTTTTTAAAAGATTTTATTTATTTATTCATGAGAGACACAGAGAGAGAGGCAGAGACACAGGCAGAGGGAGAAGCAGGCTCCATGCAGGGAGCCCGATGTGGGACTCGATCCCAGGTCTCCAGGATCACGCCCTGGGCTGAAGGCGGCGCTAAACCACTGAGCCACCAGAGCTGCCCTATAACATGAAATTTAATTTGAGTGATCACTGCTACTTCTTTTCACAACTTCCCTAATCAAGAGTTTTATTGTTTTTTTTTTCTTTTTTTAAGATTTAATCTATTTATTTATGAGAGACACAGGCAGAGAGAGAAGCAGGCTCCACGCAGGGAGCCTGATGTGGGACCTGATCCCGGGACTCCATGATCACGCCCTGAGCCAAAGGCAGACACTCAACCGCTGAGCCACGTGGGTGTCCCAAGAGTTCTTTGACTTGAGCCTAGATTTTTAGGGGAAATTCTCGGCTTTGTTTGCTGAAAAGGTGCTCATCTGGGAGCATTTCAAAGAATTGCAGATTTCTTTCCTTTTTTAAGATTTTATTTATTGGAGAGGGAGAAGCAGGCTCCCCACTGAGCAGGAGCCTGGGATCATGACCCAAGCCAAAGGCAGACACTTAACTGAGTGAGCCACCCAGGTGCCCCGAGGTTTGCAGATTTCTGAGTGTCTCCCTGTCCTCATGCAGATGCACCGTGTGTCCACTGGGTACAGAATTCCTAGATCGGATCCTTTCCCTCTGGAATCTATGGAGTTTGTCTCTTGGCTTAGGCATCGATCATGGTGGAGGAGAAATCTGTGAAAGCGGCATGTTCATTCCTTTGAAAATAACTTGTCTTTTTGGAATTCAGCTAAGCAGTTACACTCGTGGATCTTTGCAACCTCAGCCACTGGTCTGGCTGCTTCTAATACACTTACTTCAACTCATTTTTCTGCCCGCTGGCTTTTAGCAGGCTTTCTCTTTGCATTTAAATTTCTTACCACACCATAGCTTCTTGTTCTTGTCGGCCATTCATTTGTCCAGGGCCCATTGATCCCTGGATTGAGTACGGTTTCAGCCGTTTGCTAGGGAGGATAATCAGTAATTGAAATGCATTAGGTGACCAGAACCTCATCTACCTTCTGCCACAGATTCACTGTGTGTCGGGGCCCATCTCCAGGGTTGGCATGGGATGTCCCCCTCACACCCCTCCCTGTGCGTGTGCCTGCCTCTCCCACCCCTACCTCTGTTTCCCTCTCTGTCTCTGGTGGTGGTTCCTTTGTACACTCATTGCTAACTAATTCCCAGTCAGAGTGATGGATGGCTTAATTTGCTTTCCTTGAAAGCCCGGTTTTCCCTGGCTTTGCCAGAGCCTGGGCAGCTGGCTCGGGAGGGTGGGTCTTGGCAGAGGAGGTGGGAGAGCTGCACAGGGTTTTGGGGTTCAGCGTCCCCAACACAGTGCCATTGGATCCTTACCGTCCTTGTGTGGCCTGGCCAAGTCAGAACCTTCTCAGTGCCCCTGAAAGCCTTCCGAAGCCAAGGGACTCTCAGCTGGATCCTAAAGCCTTGAGAAATGTCTTTGTCGCAGACTCTTGACAGAAGGGGAGATTCTCACAACACAGAGGGAGGTCTGTGGAAACTCTCTTCCTCCTTCTTTCCCCCAGAGTTCCTCTCCTCATGGCCTCTGAATCCTCCTCTCTCAGTCCACCCCAGGTTCTCCACTGACTCCCTCCTTCTGAGACCAAGTCTCTGGCATTCTCTGGGGAGGAGCCAGTTGAACCTCTCTGGTTGCTTTTGAGTCTTTCATTTCTCTGAGTTGCATCATGAAGGGTCAGGAGCTCAAGGGATCCTTCTTGGAGGAAGGAGGGGAACGGGGTTGTGTCATACTTCATCCCTGTCAACAAGAACATCAGGAACATCACCACCAATGAGCTTGCTTAACACCACCACCCCCACCAGCATCGTCTTCACCACCACATCACTGTCCTCATCACTGCCATCATCACTGTTGTCATCTTCATCACCATCACTACCCTTACTATCACTGCCACTATCATCACCATCGTCATTGTCACTGCCATCATCTTCATCACGACCACAACTTCATCACCGTCTCTGCCACTATCATCATCACCACTGCCATCACCATCACCATAATTATCGGTGTCATTGTCTTCATTGTCACCATCATAGTCATTGTCACCACCTTCATAACCACTACCACCACCACCATCATCATCACTACTGTCATGTGCATCCCCACCATCCTCCTCATCACCAGCAATCATCATCATCATCATCACTAGTATCAACATGGATGGTGGCATCATCCATATCATCATCATCATCTTTATCATAGCAGTTACAATTAATTATTTGCTATGTGACAGGTACTACGTTGGGCATTTTATTTTTTTAAGATTTTATTTATTTACTTGACAGAGCATGAGCAACAGGGAGGAGCAAGGGGAGAGGGAGAAGCAGACTCCCCACTAAACAGGGAGCCCGAGGCGGGACTTGATCTCAGGACACATGATCTCAGATCATGACCTGAGCCAAAGGCAGATGCTTCACTGACTGAGCCCCCCAGGCACCCCACATTGAGCGTTTTCTCTACGTTTTGTCATCCAGTCATCTGTGTGACCTTGTAAGATAGACACTAGAGTGACTCCTCTCATGGTCGCAGAGGTCAGGAGCTAGTATGTGGTGAAGCCAGGGCTCCAGCCTCCATCTCTTAATCCATAGCCCCCACCCTGGTGCAGGAGCCCTACAGTGTCCAAGTTGCAAGAGGTGCCAGGGTCCCTGTTTCATCCTGTGAGGCAGAGACACCGACCCCAAGTGCACACCCAGCTCTATGCCAGACCCCACACCTAAATCCTTTCTCTGACCCCTTTCCCAACTGGGCCCTTCCCTTCCTTCCACAGGTGTACGAGGGTGGGAGCCACGTGGACCAGTTTGTGACACGCTTTCTTCTGAAGGAGACGGCCAATCAGATCCAGTCGCTGCTGAGCTCTGTGGAGAGTGCAGTGGAGGCCATTGAAGAGCAGACCAGCCAGATCCGGTGCGTCACTGGGACCACAGTGTCACCTGGGGACATGTCACATATGCACACAGCAGCCTGCTTCCAGGGACCATTTGTGTGCTTGGGGGCTGGGGACCTTGGGCAAGGGGCTATATATACCTCTCTGTGCCTCTTTGTCCCCAGCTCTGAAGTGGGGACCATTATACACCTACCTCTTCAGTGACTGTGGGTTGAATGAGACGGCGTATGTGCAGAATGATGCCGGGTGTGTGTGCATAACCTGCATGCACCGTGTACGCACGTCGAGTTAAGACTAGACTGTTCCCTAGACTCATCGATTTTGCCACATCCCTGTACCGCTCACGTTATTGTTTACCTAAGACTATCCTATTATTTGCCTCATTTTTGAAAGCTGGAAATCAGTTTAGGAAGCTACGTGGTTACCTTAAGTGGAGAGGTTTCCACGTGCCATAAATGAAGTAGCTATAAAACCAAGCACCTGTGGTTGCAGACAGTCGCGGAAGCCCGGGGCCTGGCCTCCCTCCATCTGTTAGGAGGAGAGACTGGGGAAGCCAAGAGAGGCCTGGAAGAAAGTAGCACCAAATCCTGACTCTCTCCGCAGGACTGAAAGAGAAGCAAAGTGAATTAAGTGACCGAGGGCCTTGTTTGTGTGTCAAAGCCAAGGAAAAGCATGTGTGTTGGGAAGGCCAGCCTGGGGTCCAGAGAGGAGCAGGTCTCCCTCCAGGCCAGCTCCTGGTGCCACGAGCCCTCACTTTTGCTCTGTCCCAAGTTGAGACAAACCCCTCTCTGCCTTTCTTTCCAGAACAGCCAGTGCGTCTGGTGCAGAGGGGACACAAAGAGGTAGAGATAGACAGGAACAACAGCCAGGCGTCTACACTGCTGGGCCCGGCGTGCCATTCCCAGGCGGGGGCTCGGTGGGGCCAGGGTGAGGGTGGCTGATGTGTAGGGGTTTGAGCAGGTGATTTTTGGCTGCTGAGGGCTGGTCCCAACCAGATAGGATTGCAAAGGCTGTTCAGTGACACTGTTCCCAAGATTTGTTTGGAGCATCTGTGGGCAAATCATGTGGGAAATGGGAAATGCAGATCCCTGGCCTCGGCCATGCCTGCAGGTTGGGAGTCCCTGGGAGCCGAGCCCAGAACTCCACATTCGCGCTCAGCCTTGTGATTCTGAGGGTCCCCAAGGTGAACAGTCACTGCTCTGGAGGCTGACACAGAGATTTCCTGCATTTTTTGGTCACTATCTTGATTAAAAAGTTCATGTGTTCCTCCTGCTGTATTGGTTTCTTTTTTTTTTAATTTTTATTTATTTATGATAGTCACACAGAGAGAGGGAGAGAGAGAAAGAGAGAGGCAGAGACACAGGCAGAGGGAGGAGCAGGCTCCATGCATCGGGAGCCCGACGTGGGATTCAATCCCGGGTCTCCAGGATCGCGCCCTGGGCCAAAGGCAGGCGCTAAACCGCTGCGCCACCCAGGGATCCCCTCCTGCTGTAGAATAGATAGGCTGCTGCCCGATGGTGGCGAGTCTCCTGCCCTGTGCCGGCTCCACCCCGTGTCAGCACGTACACCTGCGCATCCCGTGCTGGGACTTTCCTTTGGGACTTTGGCAGTGGGAGTGGCGCTCCTCGATGGGGAGTCACATCTCCACAGGCACTCCCACCTCAAAGTGTCCCCCCAAATCTCAGCTCGTGTGTCTCTGGGCTGCCAGCCTCTTCCGGCTACTCTGTCTGGGCACAGGCCACTGCTCCAAAGCCTGCAGCCCCTGTGAGACTCCTGCTGCACACATGTCTGAGGGCCACGCTGAATTCGTGGAGCGTCAGGATTGACCCCTGAAAGACTCCGCCAGCCTCCCCCTCCCAAAGACTTGGGGTGGCCCTGCTGCACCCAGGAGAGGCTTGCTGAGCTTTCAGGATCATAGGAGACAAAGCCCAGAATGCACCAGGGCAGAAGGGGAGCCAGGGACCGGGTGCAATGGTTGTGTGCACAGAAGTGTGTGTCTGGGTGTATTTGTGTGTCTGTGGTGAGTTTTCCAACATCTCTTTGCACATGGGCATTTGGCCCTTCACTGAGCACTGGTGGAGTCCCCACTGCTCTGCCAGGCACAGTGCTTGGAGAGCTGTGTGTGCCTGTCGGGCGTGTGCGGGCTGTGCACCTGTGTGTGCATCAAGAGCATGGAGACAGGAACTGGGTCTAGGCCCCTCTCTCTAGGGCCTGCCTGCGGTCAGGAGCACAGATTGTTCTGTGCTCTTACATGCCTTCTCCAGACTGTGTTTTCGGGCTCCCTTTGAGGGGGTACAGACCCAGGCTCCCCCCAACCCACAGGGCTGCCAACACGGATGGCTGCCAACACGGATGGCTCCCAGTGAGGCAGGGAGGGGAAGCATCGCTTACATGGTGAGGCGGGACGGGAGCCCGGCTCAGTGTCAGCCCTGGAATGGGGCCTCCTGGGGAAACAGAGCCTGGGCTGTGCGGTCCTAGATGCCAGTAAATTCGGATCCCGACCGTCCTGCGAGCTGTGTGGTCTTGGTGAGGTCACCTGCCTGTGAGCTTCATTTACTCCTCCAGGAAACCAAGGCCATTGCGCCCACTTCCAGGAATGGGGATCCACCGGGTAAACTGAGGCCAGATCGGCTCACGGCCTGTGCGTCATGTTTGCCAAAGTTGAGAGAGGCCAGGTCCTGCGGCCTCCCTCACGTGTGTGTGTTTCCTCCATCACACTGCAGACAGAACCACAGCAAACCCAGCTCCAGTACAGTGGAGACCCGGTATGGAAGCGCTGCCTCCCCACAACCCCCCAACCCCAAGCTGGGGGCCGTGGAACCAGGGAAGAGTCCTCCATCTGGTGAGAGCATGTGGCCTGGGGTGGGGAGCACTGGTGGTGGGCAGTGGTCTTCCAGGGACTCTGACGGTTGGACTGGGTGGGCTGAGGGCTCCCCTCCCCTGCCCCGGCCTCACCCTGCCCACCAGCAGCATCTCTGTTCCTTTTTCCCAGTCATCCTGGACCCCAAGGAGGAGGGCCTGGAGGCCCAGATCAGCCGCTTGGCAGAGCTGATAGGACGGCTGGAGAGTAAGGTAAGCCTGCAGGCCCTTGCCCCTCTGCCCCCTGCCCCTCTGCCCCTCCGCCCTGCCCCAGGTGAGTGCAGGGTAGTGCAGGGTCAGGCCTGGAGCCCAGACAGGGACCAGGGAGCCCTGGAAAGGACATCACCCAGGGGGCATGTGGGAAAGCAGAACAAGACTGGGGGAACACGATCCTCGCTCATACCTGCCCGGGGAGGGGTGTGGGGGAGCAGGGGAGCAGTCACGGGGCTGGGGGCAGCCAGGAGGGGCGTCTCTAGGAGCAGGAAGGAGTCAGCAGGGGGAGGGGGACTGGGGGACCAGGCTTCCTGCAGCTTTGCTCTAAGGCGGGCCTGGCCTGGGCAGGTGATGCCAAAAGGCAGTGGGTGAAGGAGGGCGATGTCCTGGGGGAGCGTAGAGACATCCCGGTGACCAGCGGCTTTCATGATTTGGCACGTCCACGGGTCAGAACGTGGTACGGAATCCCACCTTCAGAGATGGTTTGGGCTCAGTAGGTCCCGGGTACCTCGGTTGGTCTCCCCCGGGGGCCAGAACCCGTACGGCAGGTGGGGCCGAGTCTTCTGTGGGGCTGAGCCTGGAAGTCTGCGTGAGGCTGCGGGCGCGGCTGCTTCCCGGGGCCGGGTTCTCCCGCTGCTGCGCCCTCCCTGTCCTCCTCTCCTCCTGAGGACAAAGGTCATGCTGGACCAGGGCCCACCCATGTGACCTCACCTTAATTAACTCTTCAGGGGCCCTGTTTCCCAACATAGTCACGTTCTCAGGTGCCTGCCGGGGAATAGGGTTCGACATACGACTTTGGAGAGGAAACAGTTCAGCCCGTGACAGTGGCCGCTGGAGGGCAGGATAACAGGTGGCCTCGAGGTTTCCCAAGGGGCGCAGGTATCGGCGCGCCTGTTTGAATCCTGTCCGTGCCACTTAGCTGTGTGCCCCTGGGCCAGTCACGTCCCCTCTCTGAGCCTCGGAGTCCTGCTCTAGCCGCGAGGAACGTTCAGGATAGCGCTCCTCCCGGCGTTGTTGCGAGGATTCCAGAAAGCCAAGTGTCCATGGCCCAGCCGGCGCCCGCCGCGCAGTGAGCATCTGCCCTGAGCAATTGTTAGCGACGCTTCCCGGATACACTTGTCAGCCTGCGCGACCCAGGTCGCCGTGACCTCCGAGCTGTGCCGTTGCAGCCACTCTACGGTTCTCCTACTTCTCTGCGTTTCTTACATCTTTGGCAAAAGGGCCAAAAAGTACTTTGGTTGGGTTTGGGGGGTTCTGAGGATTCGTGGGGGCGGGGCTCCCCGCGCCAAAGGAGGCTGAGGCAGGAGGCGGTGAGCCACCTGCAGGCGGAGGCCGGGTGGGGGGTGGGATCCCCCCTCCTCAAGCCGGCCGCTGCGTGGGAGCCTGGGACCCGAGGCCCGGTTGTCATAACAACGCGGAGCGCCTCCGGAGGGAGGTTCTTTGAAGCTTATTTTTAGCCTCCCGTCGCCTTAACAACCGCTGGCTGGAGACCCGGAGCACCTGGGTGTCCTGGAGACTCTGATTGGTCCAGGCCGCCAGCGGGAGCCAATCTGGGGCCGTCAGGGGCCCCGCCCTCCATGTGCCACCTGCGTGCACCTGGGGGCTGTGCCTGGGTGGGTGGGGCTGATGGGCGCAGGGCTGGGTGCCTCTGCACGGCCCCCACACGCCCCCAAATCCTCGCCCTCCCGTGGCCCTGCAGGCTGGGAGAAGCCAGCGGAACCAGTGCAGCCCCCGCCTCTGGGGGCAACCCCCCCTCCAAGGTTGTAAAAGGATGGAACTTGCCCCTGCCAGGCACACCTTGGCCACCTGTAGAGCTCTTTGCAGCCCCGAGACTCTGAGAAGTCAGTACTTAAGGCAGGACCAGCCGCGGAGATTGTGAGGGCCCGCGTGGGTACCTGCAGGAGCATGCAGGGCCCCGTGTTCAGACATGAAGAATTTCCAGGTGGTGGCAGCTGCACAGGGTCTCGTGCGCAGTTACCATTGTTTCCCTTAACCAGCCGGGGTGCCTCCTCCACACGAGAGAGGACAGACTCGGGTCTGTGTGCCAGAGACACAGGCTGTCCTCGTGGAGGATGAACAGGGATGACACAAAGGTGGCCTTTATTGGGGTACCCAAGTCGAAAAGGAATCGTGAATTTGTGGGTCAGGAGGAGAGAGGCCCTGGCTTCAAAGCCAGACTCCAGCGCTAGCCCCGGGCCCAGGTCCTCGGCTGTGGGACCGTGAGAGCATCCAGCAGGTGCTCCCTTCTAGACACAGGGTTCCTGCCTCCTTGGGCAGCCCCTACCTCGGAGCGTCTAGAGAGTTCAGCAAGATGTATTTGTAAAGCGTTCGGAGCAAGGCCTGTGGGAGGCCAGTGATACAGACCACCCCGTTCAGACCATTAGATCCCCAAGGCCCCAGGGGTTATGACTTGGGGTGAGTGGTGGTAAGTCGATGGGGAATCTCGGGACCTTTGCCAACAAGTGTGGCAAAAAGACTCAAGCCTCATTGCTGCCTGTCCCAAGGCCACCTGCTGCGGTGGGTCTGGTTGGCTTCTTCCAGATGCCAAGGCCAGAAGGGATCTCTGCTGCTTCCTCTGGTCTGGCTGCCAGCCTGGCTTCCCAGCTCCCCTCGGAGCCAGCACTGTGCGTGGAGGGTGGACCGAGCCCTGTCTAGCTGCCGGGGGACCCCAAAGCCCTTGGAACCTTGGGGTGGAGAGGCTGGAGCTCTTTAATGGCTTCAGGCTCGTCGTGGTGGTCCTGGAGGCCTCCCTGGGAGAGGTGGCCTCTGTCCCCAACACGTCTTTGTGCTTGGTGTTTCAGACCATTTGGTTTGACCTCCAGCAGCGCCTTGTGGACGAAGAAGGCACGAACATGGTGAGGCCTGCTCCCTTCCTGCCGCTCCCTGCGGCCCCATCCCTGCCTGGGCCAGGACGTGATGCAGGCAGCTCGATGTCCTTGGCACCCCTCCCCTGGGTGCCCCACGAGGGGAGATGCAGCCCTGGCACCTGGCCACCGGCCCCTCCCAGGGCTGTCCTCTGATCACAAACAGCTTGGCTCAGAGCAAAGTGACCAGCGCAGTGACGCCATATCCACCCAGAAGTGGATTTTGCCGGGCACTGGTTTTGTTGTGTGTCAGCCCAGACGGCCTGGCCGCTCCTGATGCCTGTAGGGCCTCTTTAAACACCCTTGCCGGGTGTCGGCCCTGATGGGGCTCCCGTCTGCTTTTAGCTCTTAAGCCCTAGTTCTTTATAGCCGGCTCCCATGTGGCAGGACAAAGGGCGTGTCGCACATGTGAGGGGTTGTTGGTTTTGTTCTGACCAAGCTGTCCCATGGTCTGGGAGGGGAGGCCGGGTGTGGGGCTGTGCCCGGGGGCGGGGAGGGGGGTGCCAGGCCCGGGGCGCCCAAGCTCACTCACCCCGTGGCCCCACAGCACCTGCAGCTGGTCCGGCAGGAGATGGCCGTGTGCCCCGAGCAGCTGGGCGAGTTCGTGGACTCCCTGCGCCGGTACCTGCGGGCCACCGCTGGGGCCAGGAACTGCTTCCAGTGAGTGAGCCGAGGGGCAGTGGCCGCAGCTCTGCCGGGGGCGGGGGGCTCCCCCAGAGAGCAAACCGCACCCCAGGGACCCCACGATGACCCGGGCTTTGCCCCCTGCGCAACCAGGGCCATGACTCCAGCTCCCTGGCTTTAGCATCCTCGTCTGTAAAGTGGGGCCACTGCCCGGACCCCCCTCCCTGGGGCTGTAGGAGGTGAGCGTGGCCTAGGGGACGTGAAGGCCTCAGGTCAGGGGGTAGGACAGTGCGTGCCCTCAGGGTGGCCGCCCCGGGGCCCCACCCTCGGCTCCCTGCCACCTGCTGGGTCTTTGGCAAAGCTGAGCTGATGGCCACGTCTGAGCGGTCCCTCACCCTTGCTGGGTGGCCGTCATCAAGGCTGCTGGCCCAGGCCTCCCGGCTCCATCCCGTCCCATGTCTCGCCCCCAGGAGAGCGGCTGTGGCTCCAGCTTGCTCTCTCCCAGCTCGCAAGCACGTGTGCTTCCAGGGATGCGGCTGGGAAGGGAAGCAGGCCGCTGCTCTGGCTGAGCACCTATTCTAGGTGGGAGAGGGGCAGATGGAGAGCGGGGTGCTGTGGAGGCCATGAAGCAGGGTCCTGGAGGGGCTGCAGGGATGGTTTGCTCTGGGGTGAGGGGTGGCTGGACCTGCAGACTCGGAGGAAAAGCCGTCTCTGCTAGGGGTCAGCTGGTGCCGAGACCTGGAGTGGCAGCCGGGGTACCCTGTGTGGCACCTGCTGTGGCCCGACGGCAACACCAGGGGTGTGGACTGGGGCTGGTCGGGACTGTGTGGGAGATGCTGGAGCAGAAGGCAGACATGGCCTGGTCTCTCCTCTGTGTGATGAGGGCTGAGTGGGGACCGGGGTGCAGCAGGGCCAGGGGAGGCCCCAAAGTCACTGAGCAGGGTGGCCTTCCTGCGCCGTGGGTTCTGGAGCAGAGCTGACCGGCCTCTCCAGTGGCTGCAGTGGAGGGAGGAGGCAAGGCTGAGCGGGAGAGTGTTTGTCTCCAGAAACCCTGTAGAGGGTGGTGCGTGCACTGAGCTGGAAGGTCAGGAGGAGGCCAGGTGTGCTGGTGGGGGCGTTGTACAGGCCGCCTGGGCCACGTTAAAGTCAGGCTAGCAGCCAAGGTGCTGACGTACAGGTGCAGCAGTCCTGAGAGGAGAGGTGTTCCCCGTGGGCAAGGCTGTCAGGAGCAGAGGGGCGCAGGCGGCTGGAGTGGGGCTCCCTGCCTGTTTGTAGAAGGACTGCGTCCTCCCTACAACCCACACTTGCGTGTCTCCCCGCCTGCCCAGAGGCATTCCCCCCACAAAAGCAATCACTGTGTCGCCAGCCACACAAATGCAGCCCCCGTGGTGGCTTTCATCTCCCAGTAACCAAGTGCCAACAAACCAAATCGCTCCGGCGACCTAAAGCCTTGCCATCCATGTCTGGTGCAGGGTTACATCTGATCGGAGGGTGACGTGTGTGCCCTGTCCTCTCGGTGACGACCCCACAGCCCCACGTGTCATTTGAGGCTGGAACCTAATAAGCTAATGCTACGATTGGTAGCCTGGTTCTCTGCTTCCACTCTGGGCGGTTAGGGCGGGAATCGCCCATAATTATACGGGGAATGCCACCCATGACAGCGATCCTCCTCCTCCTCCTCGAGGGATGCTGGGGGTGCTGCTCTGCAGAGCGGTGAGAAAGCAGCCAGGGGCCAGATCAGGACAGGGTTAGAGACGGTGGCAGCTTAGCGCCTCCCTGCCAGGTCCGCCACACTCGGGGAGGCAGCCCCTGGCCCAGGTGGGATCAGCCCTGTTACAGGGAGGTGGGCAACCGGGTGCTCCCCCAGGTCCTGCAGGAGTGATGGGGGCAGGGGGTCCTGGCCTGCCCGCCCACTGACCCGGGCACGGCCCTCCCCCCGCTGCTGTTGGGCCAACTCCAACTCGCAAGAGTGCTTTAAGGATTAAGTAAAATAATTTTGGAGGAGAGCCTAGCAGGAAAAAGGCTTTTATTTTTACAGGTAGGGTGTTTTAATGAACGTAAAACCTTTGAATTACAATGATATGATATTTTAATTCAGTGAGCATTTGAGGAGCCTGGCCCTGGGGGAGGCGGCTGGGATACTCCTGCACTGGGTGCTGGGGCCCTCCCACATCCTGCCAGGCTGGTGGGGTGGAGCATGGGGGGCACCCGCCGTGAGGGGGCAGCCAGGCCCCCTGCAGCTGGAGCCTCTCCTCTTACAGTATCGCGGCCCTGAGGCTGGCGGATGGCTTCACCTTCGTGGTCTACGAGTTCTGGGAGACGGAGGAGGAGTGGAGGAGGTGAGCAGGGCTGGGGATGCGGGTGTCCTCGTCCCTCGGGCCCCTTCCCTAGAAAGGAGAGCGGGTAGGGCAGGGGAGTAGTGGGCCCCCATCCCTGGGGCATCCACCCACAGAATGCTGGTCTCAGGGCCCTAAACGCAGTTGAAGGGATGGACCCCCGCCCCCCATCGGACCTGCTGAGCTCTGAACCCAGGCTCCAGGCCAGCCCAGGAGGTAGAGGCTAAGGCTGTTCCTATTTGAAAACTGGCTGCCAACCTGGCAGCCGGGGAGATAAAACTCCAGAAAGGTCTCTGATTAAGAGCACTCGTGAGAGGCAAGAACCAGGCTGTTCCTCCCACCCCAATGCCCCTGCAGTCAGCCTGAGGCCAAGCATGGCTGGCGTGGGGTTCAGTAGGGCCAGGGTTACAGGATTAGGACCCCCACCTGAGCCCAAGTGCTGGAGGCTCCCCCACTGCCCCCCAATCCCCAGAACTATCCCTCCATATCTTGGGTTGCAGGCACCTGCAGAGCCCCGTGTGCAAGGCCTTCCGGCATGTCAAGGTGGACACGCTGAGTCAGCCTGAGGCCCTCTCCAGGATTCTGGTGCCAGGTAGATGGAAGTTGGGGGTGCAGAGGGTCCTAGAGGTGGGGGGGGGCAAGGGCCAAGGGGTGATGCCCGGGAGAGGGCTGGAGACCTCAGGCAGCCCTCCAACCTTGAACCAACAGAGCAGCTTGCAGGGCAAGGGCAGAGCCTCAGCCAACAGGGCTCTGGGGCCCCCCTTCTCCTAACGTGTTGTGCATGAGGGCCCCCCCCAGGGGGCTGGAGGGAGAGTGAGCTCCAGGGGAGCAGGAGAGGGGAGGTGTGCGACCTGCCCCTCACTATGGGACAGGAGAAGGGGCCGCCTTTCCAACACCTTCTCTCCCCCCTTTCCAGCTGTTTGGTGTACCGTGGGCCGTGACTGACCACCTTCCTGAGGCCTTTGGAGCCAACTGCCACCCCACCCCCTTTTCTAGAAACTTTGGTACACAAGTGGTCTTTTCAATCTACTTCCAGACAAGAATGTATTTTCCCTGTTTGAAATGAAGGAGCAGCCCCTTCCCCCAGCCTTCCCCGGATCCCCACCCCTAGTGGCAGAGCAGTCTGAGCGGCTGGAGCCGGAGGACAGCACCCCACCCCCCGGCCCCCCAGCCCAGTGGCCACGCATGATCCTCTCCCCCTACCCCTTACCACCCCTCCCCTGCAGCCTGCCCTGGCCTCACTGGGACCGGCCCCTTCGCTGGCCCCTGCATCACAGGCCTGGTCAACTTTCCTCTACCTGGTAGGAGCCAAGACCCTGTAGTGCCCAACCTCGGCCTGTGCCCAGCTGCACATGGCAATAGAGCCCACGTAGCCAGTGCCATGCTTGGCAGGCACCAATACACTCTGGTTGGGAACGCCCGCGTGCGGTGTTGTTCTTTTGGACTTTCCAGTTGAGGGCGACTGGAGGAGTAAAGCCGTTACTGTGCACGGGGCCCCGTGTTGGCCATGAAACCCTGACCAAATCACCCCAATGCCTGTTTCCTTACCTGCACCACGGAGCTGATAAATCTGAGGTCAGGCCCGTCACAAAGTTCAGGGAGTCTCCAGCAGTTCTCTGGCTCATGTCACAAGGACTCCCAGGATGCAGCAGAGCCATTTCGCTCAGCTATGAGTTATGGCAACAAAAGGGTACAGATTAAAATCTGTGAAGGGAAGACATGCAGGGGTCTCGGAGAGTCCAGGCCCCTCGCTGCTGGACGCAAGTGAGACACCGCCCATACAGCACTACCAGCCAGGAAGCTCTGCAGAGCCTGGGAGATCAGGTTCGGGGGGGTGGGGGGGCGGTGGGGACAGCCCTGCAGAGCGCTTAGCCTCCAGCCCCTCTGGAGGTCAGGGCTGAGACCCAGGCTGATAACAAGGCCAGACCACTCTGGGCACAGCTGATCCTTTACTGCACACACCTGTCAGCTATTCCTAAACATCAGCTCAAGTCCTGTTCTGGAATCCCTAACCTCCCTGTCTTAGCAGCAGGCAGACACAAAAATCTCAAGGGACAAGGAAAGAGCCATGGCTCGCGTCCTAAGGCAGAATGTAGGCGGAGACTGAGAGAGGTCCTAGGCCAGAGCAACAGTGGGTCGGTGAGGCCTGGAGGGAGCCCCGGGGCCACAGACGTGCTCGGAGTGGCCAGCCTGGGAACGGGGGACGGCCGTCACTGCTGTCCCACCAACTCGGGCTGCTGGCAGCTGTGAAGCCCCCTCTCCCCCCTTCCTCGGGTCCCACCACCCCCCTGAGGCCACACCAGTGCCTTCCAACATGGGTTTGCAGGACACCTGCAAAGCAGGTTCTAGCCCCCGCTGTCCACGTCCCCACAGCTGGCCTCTCCACACCCCTATTTCCTCATCTGCAAAGCCGGGAGGAGACCCTTCAAGACCAGAAAATGCCTGGCTCCTGGGAGTGTCACGTAACTGGGTCCCGCCCACAGCATCAGCAAGCACCCTGCAGCCGGTGCTGCTCTGATGGGCTCCGCTGTTTCAAGAACATTCTCGGGCTGAGGCTCTGTGCGGTGCAACGAGGAACCCCCTGAGCTGAGCATCTTAACACTTCGGCTGCACATCACACCTGCTGGTCCGAACTCTCCCCCCATGGTGTCCCAGCTCTGCTGATGGCAGCTTCAGCTCCTGCAGCCTCGGTGGCTTCTGAGTGGGTGGGAACGGGCTCCAAGAACACATTTCAACCCTAAAAGGTATCAGAGCTCCCACTTAATTCACACTTCACTGCCAGGCACACAGACACCGTCTCCCTCAGCGCTGCCTGTACCATCCTGTGATTGGCAGGTCCCCCGGGGGAACGGAGGCACAGAGAGGGCAAGAAACATGCCAGAGGTCACCAGCAAGCAAATGGCACCACTTGTATCCAAACCCAGAGCCACCTGCCCCCGATCCTGTACCCTAAGCCCTGAGCCACACAGCATAGACCTGCGGGGGAACAGCTCCAGGCTGGTATAGGTAAGACCTCCATCAGCCTCCTCAGTTAACGACAGGATGGTTCTAGGAGCTGGCCCTTGCATTCCTAGGTATGTACCACGCCCAGCAGAACCCAAAAGACGCATGTAAGCACGTACGAGTTACAAACGTCCAGAGCAGCGAAAGGGTGGAAACCACGCCAACATCCATCAGCGGCTGAAGGACAAAGCGGGGTCTGTCCACACAAGGGAGTAGTATGCAGCCACGAAGGAACAAGTGCCGATCCGTGCCGCATGACGAGTAACAACCCTTGAAAACATGATGCCACATGAAAGCAGCCAGTCACGGAGGGATCCCGTGCACACGCAACGTTACAGCTGTGGAAACAAAGCAGAGTCGTGGTTGTCAGGCCGGGGTACGAGGCCGCAGGGAGGCAGCGCCAATGGGGATGGGGCTGCTTTCTGCGGTGATAAAACGTTTTGGAAGGAGGCAGGGGTGGTGGTGACACAACACCGAGGTACACTGAACCGTATACTTTAAAATGGTTAACTTCGTGTCCCGTAAATCTCCCCTCAGTTAACTGCCCCCCCCATAGTCCAAATCCGCTCACCTGCTCCAGTAACATTCACCACCTGCATTCAGTGGCCAGTCCATGTTCTTGCCGTGTCCTGTTCAAAACCCGAACCTCCTTCGGGGGGCACATGGAGGCAGTCCTGGGTTGAAGGGGGGGCAGCTGCTCAGGGGACCGGCAGCTGCGGGACAGCACCCGAGCCAGTGGGAAGGCCCCCCACTGCCGCCCAGAGCACCCTGCGGCCCACGCCACTCAGAGCAGGAGAACTCATCACTTGTAACACAACATCGCTTGGCCACACCTGCAGTATTGCTTGAGATGTGGGTCTCTACCCTCAGCTATCACCAAGGCCTGGGACCCGTGACGGGCCTGGCTGTGTGCTGCTGCTGGTAGTGCAGGTGGGTCTCCACTCCCCCTCACAGCTAAGCTGCCATGGGGACAGGGGCTGTCCTGAGCTTGGTTCTAGAGGTGAACGAGGAGGCGGCTTGGTTATAGACGAGGGCTGTGACCAAGGAAGAGGGAAGCGGGGAGCTGCTGCCCTAGCCCAGGGAGGACGCTGAGGCTGAGAAGAGCACAAAGGCAACATGCTGAGGCCAAGGACTAGCCAAGGTTGCACAGCTGCTAGCTGGCAGGCAGAGCCAGCTCAGATCTGGCCAACCCAGAGCCCGGGCATGAGGCAACCCTGACCTGGAGAACACGGCGGCAGCCCTTCCTTCCAGCTGCTGCCAGAAGACTGAGGGGTCACCTAGTATCAGATGAGGACAAGCCTGAGTCAGCTCATAGCTTCACAAGTGAGACAGTGGAAGGTCACGTCTCGGCCTGCATTTCTGTGCGGTATGTCCTTGTATTGTGATGGCTGAGCTGACACGCAGTCCTAGGAGGATCACAGCCTGTCCCTGACACAAATCAAGATGAAAATTCTCGTCCCCAGTGGTGAAATGCATCACCCTTTAAAGAGCCTCATCGTCTTCTCATCACTAAGGTTCGGTCCACTTTCTCCCTGATGTGCTTTCCTGCTTTTGGATGGGCCCTAGCATCCAATTTCCCGCTTTCCCTTGGCTACCAGGAAGCTCGGTGTTCACCTAATCTCAACCCAGGTTTTTGGGAAGTAAAACTACCATTGCTTGGGCCTCGCCACTGCTGCAGTAGATGCGTGATCACCTTTGATTCTCATGGTGACCCTGCCTAGCATCATATACAATTTTGCTGGTGGGGAAACAGGTTTCATAAACTCCCCAGATCTTGCAAATGGCAGAGCCAATGTTCAAAGGCAGTAGTCTGACCCCAAAGCTGGTTGGTTCACACAGTGCCCCCTTTGAGGGCCCTACCCTTACCCCACCGCACTTTGTTCTTACCTAAGACTCCATGGATGGCCCCACCACGGCCCCAACCTTCCCAGCCAGTGCTGTGGCACTCTCGGGAGGCACACAGGGTCAATGATGAATGACTCCATTCCCACTGCTGCCCCAGGGGCAGTTCTGCCCCAGTCACATCCCAACGCTGAGGCCCTCATCCAGGGGATGCTGTGGCCCCTGGACATAGGGTGTGGAGCTGGCCAGAGGGCACTTGAAGACTCCTGTGTCCCTCTCACTGGGTGGTTGTCTACACCCGCAGCCAGGATGGAGGAGGGCACAGGGGCCATTCCATCTCTGGGGTCTGGCAGACTGGGTCCCACCCCATTGGCCACTCAGAGCATGTGAAGGAAAGAAAACAGACAATGGAATTTAACCCCAACTCGGTCCGGATCCCAGCTGGACCTCACAGGAAGGGCAGCCCAGATATCTCCGAGCCTCCATTCCTCACCTCCTTCCATCCAGGGCCAAGTGGAAAACAGGATAAGTCAAAGGAGCCAGACCCGAAGGCTGTGTGTCGTATGAGTCCCTTTGCATGGAGCGTCTGGAAGGGACAGATCCATGGAGGCAGCAGACTCGTGGTCCCCAGGGCCGGGCAGTGACTGTGAACGGGAGCAGGCCTCTCTGGGGATGACAAGCACACACCACAGTCAGATGTTGGCGATGGTGGAATGATTCTGTGCGTGCACTAACACCCACGAACTGCACACTTCGCAAGGGTGAACTTTATGGTAGGTGAATTAGTACAAGTGGACAGGCTGGAAAAAACAATAAAACCCAGTCGTAACACCACTAGCCTCAAGTGGTCAGGCACACATTACACAACAACACAGGGCCCGGCCCCCCGCCTACCTTGTCTGCCCACGTGGGCCCCTCCTGGCTGTGGCACCACCGGCTTCCGCAGACGTCCCACGGCAGTGGAAGAGCGGCCCGAATCCAGCACCATCCAGGACGTCCCAGTGCAGGGTCAGTGGCCAACGCACACAGCGATGCAGGAGCAGCAGGGCCCCTGGCCGCCTCTCCCCCCACCTCCTCCCACCAGGCTCCTTTCCCCTACACCCTGGCCCCTGGGCAGATCCCTGGTCCCCTTGCCCTGGGCTGCAGGTAAGACTCCTCACCCCAGGATTGGGGTGCAGTCATGAGGGAACAATAGAGCCAACAGTCCACTGGGTTCCCAGGCCCTGCAGGTCCAGCCAGAAGTGAAGTCGGGGGGGGGGTCTCCTTGGGGTCCTCTCAGCAGAGTGGGAGCCAAAACAGGGCTCCCTGGGCCTCAGCCACTACTTCCGTTATGAATTGTATCCCCTGAAAATATTAAGGTGAAGTCCTAATACCTAGAATCTGTGGTTGTGACTCATTAGGAAACAGGATCTCTGTGGTCCCTAAGGTAAGAGGATGTCACACTGCACCAAGGTGGCCCTAATGCAATGACTGGTGTCTTCAGGAGAAGAGGGAATTCTGGATGGATGCACAGGGCACACAGGCACGTGGGGAGGGAAGCAGAGGCAGGAGGGATGCATCCAGGGGCCAGGAAACGCCAAGAACACCAGCAACAGTGGTGGCTGGAAGAGGCAGGAACGCCCTCCCCGAGAGCCTTTGGAGGGAGCGAGGCCCTGCCCACACCTCAATCTGGGACCCAGGCCTCCTGACTGTGGGAGGATCAACTTCTGCTGATTGAAGCCACCACCACCCGCCGCCCCCCAGCGTGTGGCCTTTTGTTAGGGCAGCCCCAGGACGCCAACATAGCCTCCTGAGCACTGCACCCGAAACCCTCTGAACCCGCAGACGCCCCAATGAGCAGCCTCAGAAGGCAGAAGGTATCTGTTTCTGCATCTTTATGATGGAAGGGACACAGGTCTCACCGGGGGATGCAGGCAGCCGTACCAGGACAGCGTGGAGGCCGGGCCGACCCCCTCCCACTCAGAAGAGTTCCAGGGCCGCGGCCACCGTGCTCTGCCCGAAGATGAAGGTGCCCACGAGCACGGAGACCACTCCCCACACCTCCAGGCAGCACCTGCCAGTTAACATGTACACATCAACCCGCTCTTCTTGGGACTCCTGTGCAGCCAAGCCAAGCACGTGCAGAAGGTGTATCCCATGAAGCCAGCAGAGTCACCAATTTGGAGAAAAACCCATATTATTCTCCCTCACCTGTAGGGATGGGTTCCGAAGGCAACTGGGATAATTAAAACCTCACACTGCAACTGTTAATTGAGGACTTCGTTCCTCCCTAGCATTTCATCAAAGCCAAAGAAATGGCAGGGGGAGACACCTTTCCACTCCTTTCCCTCTGGGAGCAAGGGGAAGGGAATGAAGCCCCGCTGAAAATGAGGAAGGAGGAGAAAACCCAAAGTCACCCACGATCGGGACAGTGTTTGGGGCTCCAGGGTAAGGGAGGCAGAAGCGGTTGGCCCTGGTGGCCACTGAGGACATGGGCATCTGTGAGCTTCATGATGTACCGGCCCACACTACACAGATGGGAGATGAGATTCCCACAAATGGCAGGGCTGCCAGAGACATTTCTGGCCCCATTAACAAAGGCCACAGGACCCGCTGTCACGGACAGACTGTCTAGTGAAGCAGAGTCGTGAACGCCCCCCTGTCGGAAGCAGGGAGAGCGTGGTCCGTGTGCCTGGGGCCTGCAGGCTCCTGGAGCAGCGCTGAGGGATCACAAGGCCCCGCAGCGGCACTAGCATTAAAAATATCTTCAAAGCCCACCAGTAAGAACTGTTGTGAGCTTGGATCAAGGCACAAAACAGAAGCGGCAGGACCTCAAAGACTGTCGTGGGAAAGAGCCCTTGTCCGGTTTAGAGACATCCAGGAGGCTCTTCTCCACCCAGAGGGAGACGAAGCCTATCCGTGGGTAACTCCCTGTCCCCTCACCTGCAGGATGGCCGTCCTGTATGGCAGGGAGGGGAGTGAGGGCTCTCACTGAGGAGGTGTCTGGCCAGGACCTGCTGCCTTGCGGAGGGGATGCGTGACCCTACTGGCCACGTGGCCTCCAGAACGCAGGGTTCCATTAACAGGACCAGCCTGCGCCCCATCCTGCCTGGGTCTGAGTGCAGGATAGGGAAAGATGTGTGGCCGAGGACCTCCAGGGCCCAGGAAGAACCTAAACCCACATACAGCTCCCAGCATGGACTATTCCCCTCTGAGCAGCAGGGAGAGCCGTGCTTAGACGGACAGCACGCAGGCCCCAGGTCACAGGCCGGGGTTCCATTCCTGCGGGACTCCCTCTCACCGCGTGGATGAGGCCGCGTCCCATGGTCAGCAGTTTTCTCATCGGCAGGACAATGGGGTCTCCATGGTCCCTGCCACGTGCTCATTCTGTGTGCCCTGAGCCCGTTAAGTGCCCACCCATGCTGCCACCCTTGCCTGGGGACACTCACTTGACTCGTGGTGCTATGGGCTCGACGCCAACGGCACAGATGAGGCACAGCCCTGCAGAGGAGACACCACGGCAGCTCTTCATGGTCAAAACCAGAGCAACCCCGAGCTCCAGAGAGCCCCATGAGCACCCAGTCAGCACCCAGCCAACCCCAGGGACCCAGGAGGCCAGCCAGGCCTTTGCCCAAAGTGGCCCCCCAGGCACAGCAAGCCAGCTGTGGGGTCCTGGCTCGGCAACCCCCTCATTTCTTGGCCCCTCTGAGCCGGTCTTCAGATGCCAGGGTCTCTGGGATGACACCTCAAGGGCCAAACTTGGGGCTGGACTCCTGGGATGCTTTTGGCAGCAGGCAGCTGCGGATGTTTTTTCTTTCTGGCTAATAATTCTCCTGGGATTTGAAGCCAAATGTTCCACCTAAAGCTTCCATGGCACCTTCCTCCTTGAACCCTTCCTGGCCGGCCCTTCCCAGCATGGACAACAGCTAGGGCTGAAAGGTGGCATCCAGGCCAGGGACACCGAACCCCACTGACTGGAGTCTCAGACGCCAAATAAGCAGGGCCGAAGCCAGCAGACCCGGAGCAACCGGAGGCCAAGGGAGGCGGCCACGTGACCACGGCCCTCGCATCGGAACGCGCTTCCCGGGGGCAGAGGGAGCTGGGGTCGTGCCCTGAGCACCAGCAGGCGCCACGCACGTCTGCTTCCCCGGGAGGCCCTTCCTGGGCTTCCCAGGCCGCGATAACCCTCAGGCCACCTGGACTCAACTTGACGCACTCACACCGGGAAGGTTTGTCAGAAACCATCATCGTGGAAACCACGTTTGCCTCCCAGGTCAGGGAACAAGGTAAGAAAAAGATGCTCACGGGGCACCTTTGAACCATGTGAACTCCGTGTAACTGGCAACATTTTTTAAAAAATAAGAGGAAATCCCACAGTGAGCGGCAGCAAGGCAAGAGTGGGCGTGTGGAGCTGTCTCGGCCGTGCTGTGCGGCGGGGCCTCGGGCCTCGGCGTCTCCCTGGCAGGAGGGGTTGGCGACAGCACTCCCAGCAGGCACGGCCCCGGACGGCCAGCGCGATGTTTAACCTCGGGTGTGTGCGGTCCCCAGCCCAGGTCTGGCTCAGTGGCCGGGACCGGGAGCCATCCTACCTCTGTGGGGCTCCCACGACCTCCAGGCCCCGGAGCTCCAGGACAGGGGGGCCCCACAGAGCGGAGCAGGTGCCTCACCTGGGAAGATGAAGATGAAGAAGGAGCTGATGCCCCCGATGATGCCGATGATCTCGCTGAGGTCAGGCAGGAACAGGGCCATGGCCAGCGTCACAGCGACCCACAGCACGGTCAGCAGCCCCCGCACCCACGGCCCCGAGGGCTCCGCCAGGGTCCTGGGCCCACGTGCCCGGCAGCAGCTCCTCCTCCAGAAATCCTGCATCACCGACCTGGAGGCCACACCAGCACAGGCAGCTCCAGCCCCGCCTCAGGTGCCCCGCAGCCCCTCCGATTGCCCTGTACGCCCAGCAGGGCTCCTGTCGCCCAAGGACCACACCAACCCTCCTGCGGCTCGGTGTGCAGCAGGCCGTCACAGAGAGGGCCACGCGGGGTGCGGTTCTGGGAGGGCTGGGGAGCCGGGCTCCAGTCCCGACCCTCACTCTCTGGGCCGCTCTGGGCAAACAGTCTCAGTCCCCCCTCTGCATTCTCCTCTACGGGGAACCCCCCAACACACGAGCCCGCGAGGTGCCTGGCAGGCCCTGAGCCTCAGTGGAGCCTCGTGCCTGGCGGCAAGCGGAGCCCCAGAGGGCCGGGCCTCACCTCCCCAGGAAGAGCGCAATGGGGTAAACGGTCACGATGGAGACCCCGAAGAGAGCCCGGGCCACGATGACGACCACGTCGTTGCCTGGGTAAGACATCAGGATGTCGGCAGAAACTTCTGTCCCGAAGGTCAGGAAGCCATAAACCCCTGGGGGGCCAACAGGGTGGAAGCCCAGAGAGAGGATTAGGAAGACGCCAGGCCGGTGGCAGAGACGAGACGGAGAGCACAGCACGGATCACATGGTCAACGACACTGCTAGCGCGGCTCGGGCATGGACGGCAGCCACACCTGCCATGGGCACTGCCTCGCACAGGGGCCCCAGCGCCGTGTCGTACGCCTGAGGCTAACGGAACATTGTGTGTCCACCATGCGCAAAAAGTACTTCTTTTTTTTAATGTCACATCCCCACCTGCTCCGGTACAGCACACTGACCGCACCCAGCTCCTAGCACCCTGAAGGCCCTCCTGGGAGCCAACAGAGGTTCTAGAAGGATTCTCCGAGTTGCGGAGGCTTTCCTATCCTCGGCCAGTGGATACTCTGCGCTTCGGGCTCAGAACGCCTGCTGGCCGAACCGCGGCTCATCCTTTTTTCTGCTCCCAGTGCTGGTGTGGGAGGCGCTCACGGAAGCACCCGGCGCTCCGGCAATTATCACGACTGCTTCCGAGCCCTGTCCACCCCACACCTGGCAAGGCACCCACTTTCCTGACCAAGGGTGTCAACGGTTGCTGGAATCACACAGCGAGTGACGGCAGGATCAGGGCACCAGGCCCTGGCCCCACAACCCAACCCCCTCGGCACCCGGGGCACCTGCCCTGTCACGGTACTGTTCATCCCTGGCCGAGAGCCGCGTCTCATTTCAGTTTCTCTTCAGGCCCTTTCCATGAACCCGCTGGCCCCGGAGGGGACTCTCAATCACCAAGTCATGGCCCTCTCGCCCAGAGGCCACAGATGGACCTGACCTCCCCTGCTGGGGAAAGGTTATCCAGCTAGTTTCTCAGGTGATCACGAAAGTCCAAGGAGCCTGAGACGTTGGCGGCAGCCCAAGGGCTTCCCAGGTCAGCAGCTCCCAAAGCTGGGTGGAAGAGACGGGCCCTGGGCTGGAGGGAAGCGGCCAGCCAGAGTCAGCCTGAGACCAGGGCATGCTGTGTGATCTTGAGCACGTCACAGCCCTCTCGGAGACACGCTCGGTCACCTTTGGAGACCCTTCTGCCTCTGGTAGAGGTTTGCAAGCACCCAAACCGGTCAAATCCACAAGACCGTTTTGTGAAGTGACCCAGATGTGACGCCGTGATGACCACCATCACTGTGCTGACAGCAGGGGACAGGGGGCAGCGTGTAAGAGCAGGGCCGTCGGGGCCAGCTGGGCCAGGGTTTGGGTCTCAGCTCTGCACATCTAGCCAGGAGACCCTGGAGAAGCCGTGGAAGCCCTCTGAGCTTTGTCACCCCATCTAGGAAACAGGGGCCTTCCCTACAGGGTAAGGATTCAGTGGGTGAGAGCTCCCACACCGCTGAGCACATGGGAAGCACCCTATAAGCACACGTTAGTTGGGGTCCCCTGCACTCCCTACCCAGCTCCACAGCACCCCGGCGGGGCCTTACCTGTCAGCGAGTAGATGAGGCAGCAGGCCAGCAGGGACAGCACGGAGACCAGGGCCCAGTGCGAGAGGCTCTGGTTGCGCATGCTGCGGTAGATGGACACTGCAGCTTCGTGACACTGGAAGGCAGGGGTGGAGCTCAGTGGGACTGGGGCTGGTGCGAGAAATACCTGTAGCAACCTACAACGTCCCAGCGCCCCAAAGCTCAGAAGACCACCCAAACATCCGCCAACCATAGAAGGTGTAAGGAAATCGGCAGAGGATTAGAAACGACAAATACCCACCATTTGCTTCAACGTGGATGGAACTGGAGGGTATTATGCTGAGTGAAGTAAGTCAATCGGAGAAGGACAAACAGTGTATGTTCTCATTCATTTGGGGAATATGAATAATAGTGAAAGGGAATATAAGGGAAGGGAGAGGAAATGTGTGGGAAATATCAGAAAGGGAGACAGAACATAAAGACTCCTAACTCTGGGAAACGAACTAGGGGTGGTGGAGGGGGAGGAGGGCGGGTGGTGGGGGTGAATGGGTGATGGGCACTGAGGGGGGCACTTGACGGGATGAGCACTGGGTGTTATTCTGTATGTTGGTAAATTGAACACCAATAAAAATTAATTTATTAAAAAAAAAGGAAATCGGCAGATGGTCACACGTGGAATATTACACAGCACCGAAGAAGGATGGACCCGACCACATGCCTGCACATGGGAGAGCCTCAAAGCTGTAACGCTGGGCAAGATGAGAAAACGTGCTTCTGTGGACGGGAAGTTCAAGTTACAAGTGAAGCACGCCAGGACCAGGGATCTCGTCGGCAGCACCACTGATGTCTGGGGCAGTCCTGCCCCAGTCCTATCGTAGGATATCGAGCGGAGTCCTACGATTCAGTGGGCCTCGTCCACCCACTGGATGCCAGGAACACTACCGAGGGCGGGGCTGCCCCCTGGGACAGCGTCTGGGATGGGGTTGGGCGGAATGTGGCCACACAGCCACCCACCGAGGAACGGATACACAGGCTGTGCTCTATCCATGCAGCGGAGCGTTCCGCAGCCGCAGGAGGCTACAGGCTACGACACGGATGAACCTCAAAAACACGCCAAGGGACAGAAGCCGGTCACGAGGGACCACACGCTATAGGGTTCCATTTACATGAAATGTCCAGGACAGACAGATCTGGAGAGAGACAGGTGTGGTGGCCGGGGGCCCGGGGACAGACGGGAGCAGGCAAGGTGTCCTCCTGGGGCAATGGAAGTGTCTGAGAACGGACTGTGGGGAGGGCCACACAACTCTGTGACCCTGAGGTACAGAGGACCTCTGAGGCGTCCTCTGCAGAGGAGTGAACTGCTATGTGACTTACAGCTCAACCAAGCTGTTTAGAAATCACAGCAGCAGGGGAGTCTCGAGTGTGGCCAGGAGGCTGGGCGCAGGGCCCGCAGCCCACCTTGCACCTCCCCAGCCCTTGGGACCCCGCACAGGCTGGATGCAGAGCCCTGCTAAGTGTAGGGGGAGGGGAGCCATCTGACCAGGCCAGAGCTCCTGAGGACAACAGGTGACCTCCCCCTCCCCCTGCCCCTCTGCCTCGCCGCCCCCTCACCTACCTCCTAAACACCCTCACCTACAGCTGCCCTACCCCCCACCCCCAGGTTCCAGAAGCTCCCGGCATCAGATCCTGGCAGCCCTGCCTGGGCCCCAGCCCCATCTCCACCCGCACCCCCAGCCTGCAAGTCACATCCTTTCCCAGCTTCCATCCCTGCCTCCCGTGTCCCTGGAAACCACAGCCCAGGCCCCGGTTGCTAGGAGAGGCGGTTGAGGGAGCCAAGGCAAAGGTGAGGGGGGCACCCCTCGTAAGCATCTGGAAAGCCGCCCCCGCAGCGCGAGCCTGCCACACCATATGGTGCCGGGGCACGGGAGGGAGGGATGCAAACCACATCCAGACAAACCGCTGACAGCAAAATCATCGCTTCAGATCTTTCAAAATATTGGGTGTGCTAGAAAAAATGTGAGAAACTCCTGTAAGCGGCTTGCTAAGCCCCAGAAGCGATCTATCAAGTGATTTATAAGGAAGATAAATGGAAATGTTCCAGGATTTTTTTTTTTTCAAACACGATTCTCAAAGAAAATGCAAGATGAAGAAGAGAAACAGGAGCTGGTTGGCACAGAAGGGAAGAGAAATGTCAGGCCAGGAGGCCCTGCTGTCGGGCCTGGACCACATGCCCCTGCAAACTAGATTTTACTTTGGGATGGTTTTGGTGGTGGTGGTGTGCTGCGGAGGTGGCTGTTTTTAGGAGGGAGGCAAAGCTTTCCTAAAATAAACAATGAATGGAGTCAGCTGCCAACTGCGAAAAGACTGGAAGACCCCAACCAGGACCAGAGGCAGGGAGCAGGGCCCCAGCCCGCCACCGCTCCCCTCCTGCACCACGTGGGTGCCTGGCTTGCCCCATGTCGCTCTCCCTCTGCCCCGGACGCTCTCCCTGCCAGCTGCCTGCCCTCCCCTTCACCTGCCCACCTCCCCCAGGCTCCTCAAAGTCCTTTGGAATCGGTGTTTGGGAAAGGCCACCTCTGAATCTGCCCCCTGCAGGGCTACCTCAGAAGCCCCCCCCCCACCCCGCTGGACTCCACACACACACAGCCCATCCTCACTCCGTGACGTCCGCTCAGAGACCCTGGATGTTGTGCCCCGTGGGGCCCGCCACACAGCCACCCGGACACCTGCCAGCCCTCCTGGCCTGCAGGCCTCCTGAGGCAGTATCTCTCCCCCGCAAGGCGCGTGGGGCAGGACCCACCTGCATAAAGGTGTTCTAGGTCTCTGGTTATGCGACAGTCCTCTGAGAATTTTGCAGAGGACAGAACAAGCTCTGGATCCCCACACTGTACCCCACACCCAACAAATGTGCTGTTGGTGCTGGGTTCCCCGGGTTCAATGGCAGCTCACTCCTCACCGAGCCCAGATGCCAACCCACATGCACCGTCCCCAGGAGACGGCCCATCTCGTCCTACGGCAAGTCTTTGAGCTTCCTCCCTGACAGGGGCCACACTCTCCCCAGGGAGCGGGGCATCACCACCACAGCGTGCCGCATCTCACTCCTCCACAAGCCCCTGCTGAGATTACCTGGAACCCAAAGCAGATGGTGGGGAAGACACTAAATACAGAGGTCCAGGAGGAGGGGCTGCAAAAAGACAAGAATGGATGTTTATCACAACGAGTGCAACTCAAAACAGTCTCAACTTAAAGAGGAGTTTTCAGCAATACCAGGAAAGTGCAACAGCCCGACCACGAGACCGGTTCTTCATTACCAGGAGGAGGACACATGTTAAATGCTGTGCCTTTTTTTGTTTTTTTTTTAAAGATTGTATTTATTTATTCATGAGAGACACGGGGTGGGGGGGAGAGAGAGAGAGAGAGAGAGAGGGAGGGAGGGAGGGAGGGAGGGAGGGAGGGAGGGAGGGAGGGAGGGAGGGAGGGAGAGAGGGGCAGAGACACAGGCAGAGGGAGAAGCAGGCTCCATGCAGGGAGCCCGACGCGGTACTCGATCCCGGGTCTTCAGGATGATGCCCTGGGCCGAAGGCGGCGCTAAACCGCTGAGCCACCCAGGCGTCCCAGTGCTGTGCCTTCTAAGTGAATCTGTGCTGATGTGTGTTCATGCGACCTTCTCCACCCAGGCTGAACTCGGGCAAGACGTGGCTGGAAGGAATTCCCACCTTCCTGCTGAGGTTGCCTGGTCCCATCAAGGTTAGGGGCGGGGACACAGGCAGCACCCCTTAAATCCAGCAGTGCAAGGATGGCTCAAGTGCTGTCCTTGCTGCCTAAGAGGATGGAGGTGCACAGGACAGGATCATTAGGTTCAGCCCTCTCGGTGGTCCCCAGACGGGGGGGCCCCAGCTTCCTCTGACAAGGAGCTCTGGATGCCAGCCCCTGGAGCCTTAAGGGACAGAGGGAAGCAGCACCTGCTGGCCTTGGTCCCTGGTCAGCTCTGGCCCATTCCTCTCTTCCCTTCCTCCCTCCCTCTGCCCTGGGCCCCATCCTCCTGGGCCCTCATCTCCTTGTCCTGCCCTGATGAGGTTGTTACATGAGCAGCAGCCTCCATAGCTAAACCTAAGGCTGGGGCTCAGCCCCACGTGACCCCAGCAGCAGCATTTGGCAGCAATCACTGGAGCCAGCTTTCTTGAAATTTTGTTCACCGACTTCTGATTCCTACCTTCTATCCTCTTCTATCCTGGGTTGAATAATATCCCCCCAAACTTATATCCCCTGGGAACCTTGGGACAAAGACTTATTTTAGAGGGGCTCCTGGGTGGCTCAGTCAGTGAAGTGTCTACCTTCAGCTTAGGTCATGATCCTGGGGTCCTGGGATAGACCCCGCATTGGGCTCTTGGCTCATCGGGGAGTCTGCCTCTCCCTCTCCCCACTACTCATGTGCGCTCTCTCTCTCTCTCTCTCTCTCTCTCTCTCTCAAATAAATAGAACCTTTAAAAAAAAGGCTTATTTGGAAATAGTCTTTGTAGATTTAATTGGTTAAGGTGAGATCACACTGCAGTGGGGTGCGTGCTAATCCAACGACTGGTATCCCTACAGAGAGAAGAAACAGACAAGGGAAGAAGGCCCTGTAAGGACAGAGGCAGAGACTGGAGGGATGCGCCCACGTGCCAAGGGGCGCCATAGATGGTGGGGTCACCAGAAGCTGGAAGGGGCAGGAAGGAGCCTCCCCTAGGAGCTAGAGGGAGCATGGCCCCACCACACCCTGTCTCTGGGCTTCCAGACTCAACTGGGGAGCAACTTCTGCTCTTCTCAGCCACCCAGTTTGGGGTCATTTGTTGTGACACCCCCAGTCTCCTGCTTCACCTTCACTCTCTCCTTCCACAGGCTCCGCCCCCCTGGCCCTGACCTCCTGGGGCCGGGCTGGGTACTGGCTCAGGGGCGGTTCTTACCCAGCCTGGCAGCCTGAGGTGCCACCTCTGGGCTGACACCAACCACATGTCTCTCTCCAGTCTGGAGCCCCCTCTGACCTCCAGAAAACAGGTCCAACCGGCCACCTGATGTCTTCACCGAAGGCCTTGGAGCTGCCTCCAGCCTACCACGTCCCCACATGACTTCCTCCCCCAGCCACCTGCTCCTGTCTTCATCCCAAGAAGAGCACGGCCATCCTTCCCAGTGTTCAAGCCCAAAGCTCAGTTACCCTGGTCTCTTCTCTTTCTGATGTTCTACTTCCGATCTGTTGGCCAGGAGGGGCCACATAATTTGTGGAGCCTGGTGCAAAATGGACATACTTCACCCCCAATCCCCTCACTTATTCAACAGAGAACTTCAGGATAGCAGCAGCAGAACATTAAACCAAGTACAGGGTCCTTCTGGGACAGGGCCCCAGTGACCATACTGGTCACAGGCCTGTGGCACTGGCCCTGCCATGAGCAGATGTGATTTCAAGCCCTACTTTGCTCAAAATCCTGCAGCAGCTTTCCCAGCCAAACCGAAGTCCTCACCATGTGCGGCGTCCCTAGAGGATACCCCCACCCACCCCCAGTCTTGGCCTCGCTTTGGCTGATCAGGCCACACCAGCCTCCACACATTCTTGCTCCCTCTGCCCAGGCACCTATGCCTTGCTGGCCGGCTCTGCTGCCTCCATTCTGTGGGGGGACAGGTCTGCCCAGGAGCTCCAGACTGCTGTGGCATTTAGTGCCTGTGTGTCCCTCATCTGTCCCTGGCCCTTGCTAGTAACAGCTGAGTCCATCCTGAAGAAGGACAGGGGACTCCATGGGGCTCTGTGGCATCAGAGACATGAAGGATTTCACAGGGAGGTGCCCAGACTCTGTGCAAACCACAGGGAGGCGAGTGTCCCTCCTCCAAGGATCCCCCTGCAGCGCCCCCGGGAGCTGTGAAAAGCCACCCCCTCCAACTCACCTCAGTGCAGGCCGGGTCTCGTGAATGAGGCCCTGGGGCCCGAGGTAGTACTGCACCACGATGACCAGAGCCAGGTAGCAGGCGGCCAGGGTGCCTAGGATGCTAACAGACGGTGCGCAGCGTTAGGGGCCTCCGTGGTGTGGCCACAAATGCAAGGGGACACCAGCCCTGCCAGGTAGAGCCCAGGGCGCCACCCAGAGTGGGGTCTGAGTGCCAGCTGTGCCCAGCGGTTGGGCAGCATTCTCACTGCTGAGCCTCAATTTCCTTCTCTGTGCAATGGGGACAGTGGGAAGACAGCTTCAGGCAGGGTGCTCCTCTGGCCCAGAGGTCAGATGAACCAAATTCCTGACCAGGCCAACACCTGTGAGGTGTGATGGCTCCAGGTACCCCCGTTTCGCCAACAAAAGCCGTACAGCTGCTCAGATTTGGCATCGCAGTCGGGATGCCTTGGGCTTGGCCAGGCCCCAGCGGGGAGCGCCCCGACCCAGCTGATAGGACAGGGGAGCCAGGCGAGGGCTGGACACGCCGAGGGGACTCGGGTCTCCTGCGTGCTGCTCCTCTGTTCTAGCTCCCAAGTGAAAGGTCTATGGTCACACACACAGGAAAGGCAGGTGGCAAACCCTGACGGATACTTGTCCCAGACTTTATCTTTTCAAAAGCACACATCAAGCCTCAGATCGTAAAATGAAAAAAGAAGTGCGTGTGTGTTTGGTGTCTGTGCCTGAGTGTGCGTAAGAAGCCTGTAATAATTAAAGAACAAAGCGCCAGCAGCAGGTCACGTCAATACGGGGAGGGTTTATCTGTTTTCCATCACGTCTACATGTTACTTGTATCATTTTCCATCTTTTTTTCTCTTGTCCAAGTGGGAGGACCGATGCCGGCAGCTTCTCTGATCCCAGGCGGAGAGAAGACCGGCCGAGGGGGACCCGGCCGGAGCCAGCACCCTGCCCGGGAGCAGCTGCAGAGCCCGACGTACCTCGTGTGTTTCTGGAACCCGATCTCCCGCGGGGCCGACAGGGGCAGGATGACCAGCGCGGAGAGCAGGGTCAGGGTGAAGCGCTGGTCGGCGTACCAGGGCGGCGGGGCCGGCGGGGCGCTGGGCAGCAGGAAGTCACTCACTGGCGGTGGGAGGGCGGGAGGGCAGCACCCGCTGAGAGCCCTGCACGCCCCTGCCCGCGCTCAGGGCTCGGCCCCGGGGTTCCCTGCTCCCGGCCCGTGCGGGGTTGGCCGTGGGCACCAAGTCAGCCAAGGGCGGGAAGTCAGCCACAAATGAAAGACAAGTAAGAGGCCCTAGTGTTTTCGTGGGAGATGCCTCTGGTTTGCTCCAGAGCTGGATGGGTGTGTGGGGTGGGGGCCTGGAGTGGCCTTTCGGTGCCAGTGGTGGTGGGACACTGAGCAACCACGTGTTCACATGCCCTGGACCGGAGGAGGAGGGCAGGGACGAGCTGCCCAGGTCTGCTCCACAAAGTGTCGGCTAGGGGTCACCTGGGGGTACTTGGCTGACTAGATGCCTCGGCTGGAGGATCCTCGATGGCTCCACACTGGGTGCCTGGTGGGGCCGCCTGGGATCCACTGTGCCCTCCCTGCAATCTCGGGGACTCTGCACCCAGCAGGCTGGGCTGTGGCAGGGGAAGCTCCTGAAAATCCCGGTACAAACTGCCTGTCCTCTTAAAGGCGAGGCCTGAACCTGGCACCGCATCACATGGGCCAGACTCTACTGGGCCGAGGGGTCTTGGAGCCCCCTCTGATTCAAGGTGGAGGGGACACAGACACCCCCCCCACCTCACCCCCGGCTTCCACCCACCTCTTAGTGGAGGTGATACCCACGAACCTGGGACCATTTCTTCATCCTGCCGTTTGGGGCGGGGTGGGAGAGCAGTAGTGGGGGAGGAGGGTGTGGATGGCAAAATGGGCTGAAGCTGGGTGGGGCACTGAGCTCCCTATAGCCCTGCTGCTGGGAGCTAGGGGTGGTTCAAGGCCACATGGGGCTGCTCTCTCAGGGGGACTCTAACCCTTCTTTGGGCTTCACCAGATGCTCAATAAAGCCAGCCATGCAAAGATGCAAAGAAATGAATGGCTTCTCAGAACAGCTATTTTTCTACTGAACCACTGCAAGGGGAGAGTCCTAGCTTGAGGTCGCTCCAACAGGCACCCAGTTCCAGGCAGGACAGTGAAGCAGGCGTTCTGGGCCACAGATGCCCAGGCAACGCAGGCACCCAGAAGCCACATGGCCTGGGAAGGGGTGCAAGCCCTGCTCATGCATCTGGAACTCCTCAGTCAGGAACCCAGCTCTGACACCTGGGCTCCAGCAGCTCCTCTTGAGCCCTCATTTTCTAGAGCATTCCTCGAGGTCTTTCAGCACCTGTCACTTTTCATCATTTGTGCTCAGTGCATGCAGCGACAACCCCAAGCTCTATTCAGCCCTCCTCCCAAGAAGCCTGGGCTTGCCTACAGAGAGACACAGTCCCAAAGACCTAACCACCAACACACACGCGATGCTCTGTCCACCCCAGTCCATCTACCCAGGGCCAGGATGGCTTGTATCCTCATCATTGCTTTAATCTGTCCAGCTGCCCTACTCCTGAGCCTGAGTGCAGCCTCTGAATCCTTTTCAACCCAGCACCACCCCAGACAACCAGAGGTAAAATCTGACGTGACTCTACTTGCCACTGGCAGGCAGGGTGCTTTTGTGCCCATTTATGCACTGAGAGGTTCAGATTTACCAACCTCTGTGCTTTCTGGGGGAAGAGTACTGCCCAAGACATGGAAGCCTTGTGTTTCAACATCCCAGCACCGGGGGCCTTCTCATTTTTGGTTCAAGTGGCAGACCAGAACAGCCAAGTGGAGAGACCGAAATCCAAGCATATACATAACTGCTTTCCAATTAAAAATCTAAACACAATGAAAACCAGAAGCCATCAAGATGATAGAAAAAAAAAAAAAAAAAACAAACCCAAGACCCAATCACATGCTGTTTGCAGGAAATGCATCTGAAACTCCCAGGCACAGTCAGGCTCACAGCGAAAGAGCCCGGAAGAGAGAAAAAGCCAGAAAATACTCATCTTAAGGAGGCTGGGGTGGCTATAATTCATAGCTGAGAAGGTCGATTTGACAGCAAAGTACTACCAGAGACAAAAAAGGATATTTCATGATGATAGAGGGACAACTCATGGGCATGAGCCTGATGACTGAGCTTCAAACACCAGGAGGCAAAAATGGACAGAATTAAAAGGGCAAATAGGGGGTGTCATCTAGGAGGCTCCGTCTGCTAAACGTCTGCGTCTTGATTTTGGCTCGGGTCACGGTCTCAGGGTCATGAGATGGAGCCCCGCATCTGAGCTTGAGATTCTCTCTCTTGTTCTCTCTCTGCCTCTCCCCCTGCTCACACTCTCTCTAAATAATAAAATCTTTAAATGGGCAAATAGACAAATCTACAATCACAGCTGATTTTAACACCCCTCTTTCAGGAACTGATAAAGAGACAGATCTATTTATTCCAATTAGAGAGAGAGAGAGAGAGAGAGAGAACATGAGCAAGTGGGAGGAGCAGAGGGAGGAACAGGCTTCCTACCGGATGTGGGGCTTGATCCCATGACTCCAGGATCATAACACTCATCCAACCTGAGCCACCCACGTGCCCTGAATAACTTGATTTGAAAACAACAACAAAAAAAAAAACCCCAGCAAGGCTATGGAGGACCACCTGGAGCTGGAGCAGAGCTCTGGAACACACCACCCAACTACAGAATGCACGTGCTGTAAGAGTGCACGGCGCACCGCGTGCCCACCAGGACAGACCACATTGGGGCCCAGCCCAAGTCTGAAACCACGTGCAGGGTCTTCTCTGACTGTGGCACAACAAAGGCAGAGACCAAAGGGGATCCAGAAAACTCCCAAGGATCTGGAAGCCAGGGGGCCTGGGCTCAGTCCTGGAGGCCCACAGATTCAAGCTGTTACTGGCTCTCTCTCCATCAGGCTTCTTTGCAACTGGCTTGGCTTCCCCGCCCGTACACTGGGTCGTTGCCACTAGACGCCCAGCACAGCCCTGCTCCCTTTGTGACCCTCGGGGTGCCCATAATTACTACTCCGGATCTCCCTCTGCCACAACATGAGGAGCTTGGGGTGGCTCCCCCCCAGGGCCCTGCCCAGTACCCACACCCCGCTGGTTAACCAGAAGCCCCTGGGGATTTCCCCTATTTCCCCTACCCCCACCCCAGCACCAGTACGTACGCTTCTCCAGCTGGTCGCCAATCACCCTGAGGAAGGCCACGGAGATCATGAGCAGGTTGACGATGAAGCAGGCCTCACACAGCTTCCCGACGGTGGGGCCGCACAGCCCTCCAACCACACCCTGGTAGGTGGCCTGGCCGCTGATGGAGGCGGCGTAGCCTAGGATGACCAGCCCGCTGATGAGGAAGACCAAGGAGACCTGGGGAGCGGGACCGTGGGGCCAGGGCACACCCCACACTCAGCACCTGTGCCAGCTGCCCCTTACACTTTTGATACCACTTCCGCCTGCAGCCTGGGGGCCTCTCCCCGATAGGCCACCAGGCCTTCCTCTGCCCTGAGACCAGAGCTACAGAGCAAGCAACCATCCAGGCCTCTAGGGCTGTATGGCTGTGCATCTGGGGCTCATTCATACCACCCTGCCCCACTCGGCAAATGAAGCATCAGAAACCCAGAGAGTCTAAATTCCTCTTCTGAAATCCCATGGGTTTTGGGTTAAGAATACCTATCACCGGGAGGGGTACAACAAATGCACGTGCACAACGCACACCCATCGAGACAGCACACACTGCCATACCCTGAAGCCTTTTTCTGCCCCTTCCCACTATCATTCTGCTCCTGTCCTGACCCCAGAAGAAACCATTGACTGATCTTCACACCTGGCTGCTTCCACCCACAGTAACGTTTGTGAGGCCCAACCATACTGGGGGCACCAGGACTTTATCCCTATTTTTGCTGAGTGCTAGCCCATCACCTGGAGAGAACCACACTTGGTTTATCCAGTCCCCTGATGACACACATCTTGGGAAGGAAGTGAACTTTCTAGAACAAGTGACATGGAAGACGTACGTTTCATCCTCCTGGACACACACCTAGGAGGAGAACTGCTGGATCACAGAGTAGGTGCAGGTCTACCTCTAAGAGTTCACCCGGCCGCTTCTCACGGTGGTTGGGCCACAACACCCTCCCCTGGCGATGTTGTCCCTAAGCTGGACTCGGTCTCCACATTCCCATGAAGCAGAGCCATGCAAGAGTTGGGGGACACGGCCAAGAGGCTTGAGGAAGCTGGAATGTCTGTCTTCAGACATAGTTCATGCCACTGGACGAGCAGTATTACCCCCAAGAGGAACTTGAAGTGTCAGAATCAGAAGGAACATCTTCATCCAGGCCGTCCCTGTGCCTGGGCCCCTCTCTGCCTCCAGCACCCCCCTTACCTGGGCCATTCCCACCCTTCCCCCTCCTCTCCGAGGACACCTGCTCCACAAGGTCTCCTGATGCACGGCCCCCGAGATGGGCTAAGCCCTCCACTTCGGGCTCCCACAGAGCCATGCCTTTCTTGGGCACACTTCTGTCCATACCCAGTTGTGACTTGGCGGCTACAGTCTCTGCAGATGTAAATAATGTACATGTAATTCAATAAAAAAGGAGTCTTTGCAGGTGTAATTAAGCATCTTGAGACGAGGTCCTTCTGGATAGGCCAAGTGGGCCTGAAATCCACTGCTGAGTGTCTCTTCGAAGAGAAGGTCATAGGACAGTGGGGCAGAGATTGGAGAGATGTGACCACATGCCAAGGGACACCTGGGCCCACCTGGAGCTGGAAGAGGCAGGAAGGATCCTCCCCTCGAGCCTCCAGACAGAGCATGGCTCTGCCCATGCCAGGTCAAGACTTCTGGTCTCTGGGACCCTGCGAAGGGACTTCTGTTGTTTTAAATGCTCTGTGGTCTTGTGGTCCAGTGGCCTGAGGACACAGGTACTTACAAGTGTCCACGTATCACGAGGTTCTCAGTTCTCTCTACCCCCAGACTCCAAGCTCCATGAGGGCGGGGATGGTGTCTGTCCTGCATTATCTTTTAGCCCCAGGAAGACACCCAGTACATGGCAGGCACTCAGGAGGAATTGTGGACGAAAGGAGGGGGTGGTGGGGTCAGACAAAGCCTCTGCCCATGAATGCCTGTCTGCCAACGCAACAATCCATCCATGCAGGACAGGGCAGCCCACAGGAACGACCCCGAGCCGCAGGAGAGCAGAGCCCTTACCCTGTGCCCAGGCCTGGTCTCTGAGGCTCCAGAGAGGGTCAAAGTGCATTGAAATTTCATGAAAGCGCCAGCACTAATGGGATCATCAAAGAGACTCACAACCTCACACCATGACCCCCAGCCGTGTGGTGTTTAAATGCTAATAAAGGGCTAGGTGGGCTCACTGGCCAAGAGAAGTGGGGGAGGTTGTTGTCTGGGGGGCAGGGAATGGGGTGTCGGTCCCCAGCCTCATTCTTTTCCTTGTTGGCAGTTTAAGTTTATTCATGTTTGGCCTTCCATCTACTCAGGGCAGGAACCTTTAGACCAATCTGCAAGCCACGCAGGCAGCAGCCCCATCACCTGGGAGCTCCTCAGAAATGCCACTAGACCTCAGGCCCACCCAGACCTGCTCAATCAACAACCACATTTCAGCAAGGTGCCCAAGGAGACTGCACGTAGTGTAAAGGGTGAGACCCCACGTCCCCGCCTCACAGCCCTCCCCACCGCCCTGGCAATGGCCACACCTGTGCCTGACCACCTGCTTCCTCATTAACTGTGACTGGAGATCAGGCTTCTTTCTTGTTGTCCTGAAGGGGGGCCTTTTGGCTCCACACATGCCAACACAGCTAGCTTTCCCTTCACACGCAGCTGGACAAGTTCTTCATTTCTGCTGGGGCTCAGCTCAAGGCCACCTCCGCAGGGAAGCCTTCTCTGACCGCTCCGTGTGCTGAGACATCCCACCCCTCCATGACATGACCCTTTCAGCACTGCCACTCCCTGAGACTATCTTATTTGACTTCTTGTATCTTATCTGATTTCATCATTAGAACAAGCTTCCTGGAGGACAGAGGCTGCGTGGTCGTAGCCACCCAACATCAGAACAGGCGCTCGGCCAACGCTGGGGGGGGGGGGCACGGTTACACCGGACACTACACGGGGTTGGAGGGAGCCGTTTCCAGGAGGACAGGAAGGCCCCATGGCCCTTACCAGCCGGCTGTGGAAGGGCTGACCACCAAACTCAGCAGTCGCCATCAGCTTGGGGGAAAGGATTTCAAGTAAGATGCAGCTGTGCTAGTGTGCGGCCCGTCTGCCTGACGGGCGCCCAGGCCTGGACTTCCTGCGAAGGGAATCCAGGCTGGACGTCGGGGCCGCGCCAGAGGGCTGAGCCTGCTGAGTGTGGGTGTGAGGGTGTCACAGCGGCTTCCACCTGATCTGACTGCACACAGGGTTCGACTTTCATCATCGGGCTGCAACCAGCTGGTGAAAGAAGTCAACTGGCCAGGTGGGCGGCTCACGGCGGCGCCTTCCCGGCCAACGGGCAGATTCACCTGATGCAGGTGCCTGTGAGTACGGGGCTTCCGCTCGGCCTCGACCTCCCCGCCCTCAGCAGCCCGGGGGGGGGGGGGGGGGCTCTCTGCCCAGGGCCGCGGCGGGATGATCCTCTCCCCAGAGCAGTTGAGGGGGCCCCAAAGCAAGTCTCAAAGGTGTCAGTTTCCACAACAGCAGCTCCACAGAAGCAATGCCAGAGATCCCCCCCCCCCGAAATACTCCACAGGGGCTTACCAGCTCCACCAGGAAGGCGGGGACCACCCCACCTGCCTTGTAGAAGGCCCAGGGGAAGTTGAGGAGGCCAGCCCCCAGTGCAGATTTCAGGAGGATGAAGACGGCGCCCAGTGAGGACAGAGTGGGGCTGGCGGCCGCAGGGACTGGCTTCTCCCGGAGGCCTGAGCGGCCGCGCGCGGGTCCCTCCAGGGCTAGAAGCAGCAGCGGGGTGGCAAGAGGGGCAGTCTTCGCCCTGCCTTCCAGGCTGTGACGTGTCTTGCTCCCCGAATGTCCCTACGCCACGGTCGACCTCGCGTTGCCCCCTTAGTTACCGGTTTCTGGGCTGCCCCCCCCCCCCCCCGCCTTGGGTCTTACCCCTTCTGCCCTCAACCTCCCACCAGTCATCCTCACTTGGGCCCTCCCACGAAAGCCTGAGGCCGCCCCTGCCCCCCCCCAACTGCTCTCCCAGCCTCCACTCCCCATGCCCATCCCAGCACATCACCCTTACCCCCAAACCCAGACTCCAGGGTGAGACTGTCCTCAGCCATCAGGGACAGGGCTCAGGCTCGCTCGAGGTGGTGCAGCTGCATTTCTTGGGTCCCACCAGTGGAAGAAGGAAGATTCTAGCTCTGCCAGCGGGTGGGAAACGAATCAGGAATTAAGAGAGCCTTAGAAAGCATGGGCTGAGGTCACGTCCCCACACCTAGGGGGACAAGGACAAAAGGCTGAAACCATCCGTCCCAAGAACTTGGAGCTTCTGAGACTCCCAGCCTGAGGAGGGGTCTTAAGACTCCCTCCCCTCCCCCGCCCTGGTGAAGGCCCCTCCCAGGAGGCGGGGCTTGCCTGGCCGCCTGAGGGTCAGAGGGAGCCCAGCTGGGAGAGCTCAAGGGGCAGGCCTGCACCTCATCTCACCCACTGGCCTGGGCTCGGGGTCCCCCTCCAGGCCCCCAGTCGAGGAAGAGAGCTTAGAGCTCAGCGTCTGCACTTGCTCACAGTGTGTGATCTCTCTGAGCCTAGTTCTGCATCTGCAAAGGGGTCCATGCACCCACCCTGCAGCTCGCAGTGGGCTGCGGGGCCACTGTAGACTCCGTGCAAAGTCCTGGGCAGTCGGCAGGTGCTGTGTCAAGAAGCCTCTGAAAAGAATGTACACACGAAACACCTGGGGTCTTGTTAAAAGGCAGATTTTTTGTGTGTGTAAGATTTTATCTATTTATTCATGAGAGACAGAGACACAGAGGGAGAAGCAGGCTCCATGCAGGGAGCTTGATGTGGGACTCCATCCCGGGACCCCGGGATCACACCCTGGGCTGAAGGCAGGCGCTAAACCGCTGAGCCACCCAGGCGTCCCTTAAAGGCAGATTCTAATTCATTGTACTTGGGGTGTACAATCTTAGCCCACATTACTCACAAGCTACGAGCTCTGGAGAGGCAGGTGTTGCTGGTTGGGACCAAACTTTCCTCCGACCTGATCTGTGGGCTGTGATGGTGGAGTACAGGAAACTGCATTCTGAAAATGCAGGCCCGTCCATGAACGTCACACCTTGTATTCAAATGGGAACCTGCTTATGCCGGGCACCCAGCTTCGAGTCCCCTTGAAGGCGCGTCACAACGCAGCATTTCTGATTCCCTGGGTCTGAGAATCTGCATTTCTGACCAGGTCCCTGGTGATGCCGACAGAGCTCATCCAGGGACCTCCTCTTGAGGACTGAGGCTCTAATTAAACATCTGCAGTGCCAGGGCCTCACCCCATCAGTCCTTATCTGGCAAACACCATATCAGTGCTGAGGGCCTTTTCTCCGTGTGGTTTCCAACGGTCTCAATCCCCTGTGTCACCAGAGGACTGTTTATGCCTTTGCAGGCTTTGCATGGAGCGTGCTCAGTAAGCGCTAGGCCTGCTAGATGGCCAGCCTGTTGGCACAGACAGGAAAAGGGACCTGGGATTGTCCCCAGGAGCATGCAGCTGGACCACGACTTGGGTGGCATTTACGTTCCCACCAAGTGAGCAATGCCGGGAGCCCGGCCCTGCAGCTGGGGCCAGGTGTGTATCTGAGTCCTCACATCGAATCCCAAGAGGGTGTCACCATCGTGCTCCACAGGGGAGCACCTGTCAGGCCTGGGTGTGTCATCCCCAAACCTGCATCCCCCTGCAGCCTGCCCAGGACAGGAGGTACCTAGTGAAGAAATGAGTGAATGCACGATAGCAGGATGGACACAGACTCCATAAGAGAGAGAAAGGTCATGGCTTCCTCCACATGGGAGTCTCCCGAGGCTGCCATAACCAACGGCCACAAACTTGGGGGGCTTAAAACAGAAGTTTATTTTCTCATGGTTCTGGGTGTTGGAAGCCTGCACCAAGGTGTCGGCAGGGCCACCCTCCCTCCAAGGCTCCAGGCAGGTCATCCTTCCTGCCTCATGCAGCTCCTGGATGCTCCAGGCTCCATCTTCACATGCCACCCCCCAGGATGACCTCATCTCTAGCTCCTGATCTTCACTGCACCTGCCAAGGCCCCTTCTCTGTGTAATGTCACTCTACAAGCTCCAGGGCATGCTATTCAGTACCCTGTTCCCATGTATCTGGAGTCTGAGTGTGTTCTCAGTCATTCTGTCGGACAGTCCATTCAACAAACATTGACTGGAAGCAAGTCAGAGGGGAAAGAGCTCCCCACTCCGGAGGAAGGGGTGACCTGGGAGGAGATGGGGGCTAGACAAGTAGCTATGGTCCAAAGTGACCATGAGACTCCAGGAGCAGGGGGATCTGGAGGAGCTCAGGGAGGAAGGTAAGAATGTGCACCCTTGGTGAAGGGAGGAGGAGACACATGGGGGGGTCCCCCAGGGCAGAGACCCGGATCAGGCACCTGGGAAAGGCCTTTCTTGCTCAACTGCATGTTGAAACCGCCCCCCTCTTCCAGAAGGTTTTCCAGGAACACAGTGAGGTCACTGGTCCCCCAGGAGGGCTCTGGGTACCTGGGCATCAGGTGGAGCCGGGCAGCAGCCCAGGCAGGTGGAGGGCGCAGACCAAGCCCAGGCCCATGTTCCGAAATCTGCACAGCTCTGACCCTGTCCCCCACATCCACCCGAGGCAGGGAGAGGAAATAAAGAACCCTTGGCAGCGGCTGGCTTTGTACTCCTTAATCTGGGCTCTGCGAGCCTGGGGCACCTCCAGGTCCCTGCCTGGACTCCTCATTAGCTGCCCATTAACGTGCATGACTTAGAAATTGGCCACTGGGCTGTGAAATTCCACTCAGTGAGGAAAACCTCTTAGTTCTGAGAGGCTTTGATATGCACTCCCTGCAGGCCTCCCAAGGGCTATGTGACCTTTCCGGGCAGTGCAGAGGCGCCCTGGGGGCCCCATCCGTGTGGGCGTGCTGGCGCCTCGGCGGTCCAGTGTAGGAGCATCTCCCTTCTGCGTCATCCCCACAGGGGAGCACCTGTCATCAAGGGTTGTTCTCCAGGGTCCAGAGCTCCTTTCTTTCTCCACAGAATAAGGATCACATGGCAGGTTCAGAACTTCAGAGAGAAAACCACCTCTCTTGTTTCTCCAGACCTCTGTGCTTTCACCTGTTAGAAAGTTCTGGAAGATAGATGAGGACAGGTCCCAGGGGCCAGAGTCTGTGAAATGGGATCACGATAGTTCCTATCCTACAAGGCTGCTGGGAAGACTCATGAGAACGAGCCTTCGGCACAGGGGCGAGCAGCAGGTGTCATCTGCCAAGAGTGCATGTCAGATTCCATCATCGGTATTTATGCGTCTTCACCTCGGTCTGATTCTGAGCTTCTGGAATGGCATCCTGAACCCTGGCCACTAGGAATCCTGGAGAAACTCTTCTGGTGAAAGCGGTACTGGACTCACCCTCAGAGCTGCAGATGACGTTGTTCTGGGGCGAGGCTGGCATCAGGATCTCGCCATGGAGGAGCACAGCTCTGGGCAGGCAGTGTCCTGTGCTCCTGGGCCCGTGGTCCCCCGGTATCCCACAGCACATGTCCTGGGCCGGGGGCAGCTCATCAGAACCCAGCTGGGGTGAACCTACCCCTGGGAGGAGTGAAGTCCTGGTTCCTCAGAGGACAGGAGCCCGGGGCCTCGCTGTGAGCAGCTCCACCTGCAGCAGCTAACCACGGACCCAGAGTCCTCTGGCGCAAATGCACTGCAGCTCTAGGACAGGGAGTCCCAGCATGCTCGGCTGAGTGATGGCCCCTGAAGATGTCCTCATCCTGATCCCAGGACCTGCGAGTACGTGAATGGACACAGCAAAAGGGACTCTACAGAGGACAGGAAGTTAGGAACTTCGAGATGGTGCCGTGTCTGGCATGGGTCAAAGGTAGGAAAGGAGAAGGCGGGGTCAGGGCTTTGAAGGTGGAGGGGGGCCAGGAGCCCAGGGAGGCAGGCTCCTCTAAAAGATGGAAAGACCAGGATGTGGATTCTCCCCGGGAGACTCCAGAGGAAACCAGCCTTGCCCACACCCGACTTCAGCCCGAGGCTGACTTTGGCTTTCCAACCTCCAGACAACTTTACAGAAACATGTTATGGTGGCAACAGAAGACGGGACTTGCCCAGCACCCTGAGTTCTGATGGTCGGGCCCCTCAGAGAGGCCGGAGGTCTGCTGACCTCCACCCACCACCAGGGGTCTCTTCTGCAGGGCAGAGGCTGGGCCTCTGGGTGACACATGATCCCATGGGCATGGGCCATGCCAGGTCTTGCTGTCCCCTCCCTCCAAGGAAGGGCTGGTGCCCCAGGTTATGGCCCAGAATCCAGCTGTGGGAGAAGGGAAGGCGCCCTCGCAGCCGAAGGAGGACTGCAGGGTCTTGGGCATCTAGGTCCTAACCACTAGGCCCACAGCCTCTCCCAGCCTCCAAGCCATGGGCTCCTACCTTGCCTGCTGCAAGAACCCCCCCGAGGAGATCTGGAGGTCTGGATGCTAAGTCATATAAAATCTACCATCTTACCCATGAAAAGCAGAGTCCAGGCCCACATACCGCACATCCGCAGTGTTGTGCAACCGTGCCCACCGCCACCTAGTTCCAGAACTCTGCATCCCCCCAAGGAAAGCCCTGTACCCATCAGTGGGCATCACACTCCCCCCACCACCCACTAGCACACTAGCCCACTATCTGTCCCTACGGCGACCTGTCCTGGACATTCACGTGACACAATCTGTGGCCTTTTGTGTCTGGTTTCTTCCATTCGACGTGATCATGAACTCGAGGTTCATGATCAGTATTTTACCCTTTAGTGGCTAAAAAACAACCTGGTGTCTGGACGGGTCTCTTTCTACCATCTGCTGACGCACACATTTGGGTTGTTTTCAACTTTTGGCTATTGTGAATAGTCACATATAGATTTTCTCAAACACCTGTTTTCAATTCTTTTGCGTCTACGCCCAGCCGTGGGATCGCTGGGTTGGATGGTAGCTGTTTACCTTGGGGAGCTTTTAAAACAGATTTCTAAACTCCTCCCAAGGAGCCTATAATTTAGTAAGTCTGGGGCAAGGCCCAGGAATGTGTATTTCTAAGCTACTCATCTGCAGTGCCCTCTGGTCACCAGCTTGAAAC